GTGATACCAAACCTTGACAACAATTCCACTTTCAAAACAATAACAAACAATAAAATCCTATTCCCACAGATCTTCTACCTCGTAGACACCTCATCAAACTTCAAATCATCTGTACATCATAGTGACCGAAATTGCAATCATCACAAACACCCCCCAAAGTTATTGCACATCATGAGCTATTTTCTAAACCCGAGTCTCAATAAGTCTAAAGAATTATCTACAGTTGTAACTCAACTACTCAAATAGTAACAGGAAAGATCTTGAAAAGTTCGGGATTTTTCATATGGGAGTGAAGTATGAATGTACTGGAATTATTTGATAATAAGAAATGCGATAGCCAATAGTTACCTACCTAGTCAAGGATGAAAAGAGCGAAGCGAAACAGAGTGTATGTAATAAGTGAGGCTCTGTCTGAGATCCTCTGGCCAATAACGAAGAAATCGGAGAATGACGAGCCAAGGGGCCGACGGAGTTGATCTAGTATCTTTAGAGAATCTTCTGCTCTAAAATGTGTTTCTATGGAGTATGTGTATGTATGATTTTTGGAGTCGATGGGGAGGATGAAAAATTATCGTCTCGCGGTGTGCAAAAGTTTCAACAGTGAAAATACACTAAATATGTGATTTCTGGATGACAATAGAATCAAACTGCTTTTCACTTCTAAAAGCAAAACAACTACATCATATACCCACACTTCAAGTGATACTCATAATAATCTATCATTCACCCAACCAAGAAAAACTCGTCATTAGTACGAAGTTATCAGCTGCCTAATCAGGCAATTGAGAAGTTAGCATGTGTTTCTACAGAGCGCTCGAATGTTGATGAGGTATATATATACACACTATGATTTACTATCAAGTCAGAGTGTATGTAGGTTTCCGATAACATTGTGGAATTCCCAGATGAGTATGATTAATTATTTACAATTTCCACACACTGTAGCAGGGAGGAGGGAGGGAAGCGGGGGAATAAGTCCAAGACGCAATATAAAAAGAAGTATCTTGGTATCTCTGACGGACATATAAAATAAAATATCAGAGTTCGTTCATAATTCAGGATTGATACCTTTCTCAAAGATAACTTTTGAGGTATCTAGCAACTGTATATAGGAATAGACATATAGTGTGTGTGTCAATATGGTACATTGGATGGAAATTTCGTACCAAGCAAGTGGCAATGATTTTGAGCCTAACGGCAGTGATCCTGACGATAAAATATGTCAAAGATTCATATAATAACAACAACCCAGCTTTTTGACAAGGGAGATTTCGACAATCAACAAGACTTGCGAGCGTCCATTTATAAGAAACACATCTGCAATATCCACTTCCCAATCTTCACGGCTTGAATCCAAATTTCTGTTCGATCCCTGTAAATTTTCTGAACAATGCCGAGATAATATAATGAGCAGCCAGATAATACATCTACTTTTCAAATCTACAAAGTACAAGCGAGATCTCAAGATGATACCTGCGACGAAAACATACACTATTCCTCAATTTCATCTCATCTGATCTCGTACATCCAACCGACTATCCAATCACCCCGAATTCTCCTTCTATCAAACCCCTCCTCCCCTCTCCGTCTTCCCCAGTCTCCATCCCATCAAACTCACGCTCACACAACCCCGCCAAACCTACCCCTCCTACCAACCAGTATCAAATCCCCACAACAAACACTCAGTCCCAGTAAACAGATACTATACAGCCTCCCCCCTAGCCTCCCTCCCACCAAGCCATGAATCCGTCAACAAAGCAAACCAAACCAAACCAAGACAGTTCTGGCACTCAGATCAGAATCGGAAAATCGATATCATTTCAACAATACAAGTTAAAGTTTCAAGTAATCGTAAATTGTGTAATGGATAAATATAGAAAGATTAGCGCTCTAAGTCGCGAAGAACCATTTATTCACAATCCCGTTGTTGACGTTGCTGCACTAGCAGCGACAATACCAAAGTGGTTGCAACACAAAAGAATGGCAATCGAGTAAACAAAGATCATAAGAACTAAACAGCAGCAGAAAAGATAAAGATGCACTTATGCAACTCCATTCACCACAATCGTCGAATTATGCTCATACACCGACTCAGTTCGTACGAGCTCAGCGCTGTAGTTTTCAGACCCACAAGGATAAACACTTAAAAAAAACCAACCATTAATGACATTCATTACAACTCTCTCATCATCTATCCATATCTCCATCTAGAAACTACGCTAAAAGTCCAAATAAAAGACCACACCTCTTCCAATACTCCGCCGCGCCATTAACTATACGTTTCCTTTCTCTCCCTTCGAGATCTAGCTTTGCCTCCACCTCATCCGCTAAGTTCTTAAGCTTGTTCTCTTGATCATCTAATTGTGATGCTAAAGCTTGTTGTAAGACAAAGATATCAAATAGTGATTGCTTTAGTAAATCCTTTTGTTTTTCTTCATCTACTTCTCCAACCGGAGTAGGAGCAGGAGCAGGAGCATCCTTTTCTTTTTCCTCGGTATTTGTTTCAGGGGCTCCGGTAGGAGAATCAGTTGATCCCTTCCTAGTCTCTTCTTCCTCTTTCAAAACCATACTCCATTGATCTTCAACTTGTGAGTTCAGATGCGTTTTCAACACTTTGACAGCAACAGGACTCCATAGATCGGCTCCAGCATCAGCCATAGCAGTTGATAAATCCCTCATAAATTTAAACGTAGTTGGGGAGGGCTGAACAGGAAGTTCCGGTGTGCCTTCCCATAATGCTCTACCTGCAACCTTTTTTTTCTTGAGAGATTTTGCAAGAGTTAAGACGGGGTTTTCTGAGACCATACCTACAAGATTTTCGTGCAGTGGTGGGACAAGTGAGATTCCAAACTTTTGTAGTGCAGGAATACTAGGTAACTCTGCTCTAATATCTCGTAAAATGCGGAGAATATATACCGATATTTTCCCGATGGATTTGTTATCTTTATGCTGCTCCACGAGTGATGCGATCTTTGTATGTAACTCCTGGAACGATTTTTCTAAGCTTGAATCGAGATGATCTTGTAGCATTTGTGGATCTTCCTTGCTAAGAAGATTTTGTCGTGATTCGAGACTTTCATCATCTTCCATATCTTCCAAATCATCATCCCATCTTTGTTTCTTCAATTGATCAATATAAGTACCAATTTCCTCATTAAGATGTCTCCAAGTATGAAAACTGTTAACAACTCTCGAAACAGCATCGTTGCGTCCGAACGTGCGAGCAAGTATGTCTTGTTTGAAAATATTACCACCATTGCTGAGTTCGGTTGCCATCATATCTTCATCCCAAAGACTTGGATGTAGATCAGTGATTCCTTCTTGCCATGTTGCCAATGTCGACTCTATCTCTGTCCCTACTAGATGAAGTTTACCAACTCTAGTTTCCAATAGTTCTACAAGTCGTTTATTTATAACGTCTCGCAAGCCATCTAGAAGTATAGAGGGATCGAATCCTTTTGCTTTTCCCCCATCCCTAATCCACACCTCCAAAATCTGTGTTCGTAGTTCGACAACCACTTTGAAGTCCAAGCCCCCTTGAAGAGTCTTCGAAAAGCCTTCCAGTAACACTTCTGACGCTTTCTTCGCCCAACCTTTCAGTGTCTCATCTGCCAACGACCCTTCCAAATCATCATGCCGAACATAAGGTGTGAAGTAAAGAATTTCATCACCAAACCACCTTTCACAAATATCTAACCTCAATCCCTCCAATTCCCGCATACTGTTATCTTTCAGTAAAGGTTTCGTCTTCAGCGCAACCAACGCTGCACTCAGCCTCCTTGGGACTAAAGCTTGTACATCTAGTAAAGTTCTCGTATATATTTCCAAAGCTCGTAGAACAACTGAGGTCTGTTTGTTCGACTCCTCTTCATCGTCAAACGCTAAAGCCATTGCCTCACCACGAACATTTAAGAAATGTCGCAAGACGTCTTTCGCGCCAGAGCTAGTAGCTAGACTGTATGCGCAAAGCGCCTGTACCAAATCGTCTCTATCTGCACCATCTTTAATGGAAACCAGTGTCTTCTCAACTGCACGTAACAATCGTTTCGTCAAAACCGACCTCTTCTTCTTCGCTTCTTCGACAAATTGCTTATCTCCCGTATTCTCCAAACTCTTCGCCAACAACCGACTCAAAACTAACACTTTCGCAGCAACAACTAACCCCTTCCCTCTCGCTCCATCCCCATCTATTCTTCCAGGTCTCCTCAAGAGCTTCCCAACTACAATCCCACACACACCCAATACCTTCATCCTAGCCACAATCCGCATTTCCTCACCCTTCTTCCCATTCTTCATTTCACCCTGTAATTTCCCCAATCCGCCAACCATTCCAACCAACACATTTCTCCCACATCCTTCTCCTACTTTGCCTAACCTTTCCTCTACTCCACTGATATCCTGTCGCATCTGTAAGATTTGCTCGGCGGTTCCAAGTAATTGTCTATAACTCCCTCCAACCAGTGTGCGCAGACGTGCATTTTTCTCGTCAAGCTCTGTAGTAAGATCGCGGTGGAATTGGCGAATCTGGGGAAGCGGATATTTGAATGCTTCTGAGGAGGTCAAGCATGTTGTAGTGGAGAGGGGAATCGTAGTTGCCATTTCGGCGTTTGACAGTCTTTGTAGTTCGTATTATATCTGGTTATTCATGAATTGCGGATTCATGTATATTGGGAATTCATAGAATTCATAGTCTGTTTCGTATCATTATTCGAGGTTCTAGACTTCGCATATCGCATGTGTCAAGGGCTGTCGATGAAGCTCTGGTCTGCATACTTGTTCTCGACGTAACCTTGTAGTCCGTGCGTCAGCCTTCCTGCAAGGCTGACAGGGTTTAAAGCCTTACCTTCCTAGATCTTTTTCCTCTGTCATCATGAATTTCCAAATTCCAAACCATACGCAACGATGATGCTTCCACGCAATTTGAGTCTCCTAGAATAAGAAAATCCTCAAAACCCAAAGACAAACTTTTGAGCCATCATCCCTTTTCAATTCCCTCGAAAATGAACATATTAACCCCAAACCCACATCATGCATCCCTCCTCTCACTCACTCAGCTCCTCCACCTCACACACCATCGCAACAAAAATCAACACCGTCTCTCAAAATGGTACATATCCTTTGGAATCTTCCGCCGCCAAGTATCTCGTCTCCTATCTATCATCCCAGAACATGTGATGGAATCATCACGTGGAAAAGTGAAAGGGAAAGCTCGGGAACGAAAAGAGAGGGAAGAGAGAGAATTACAGAGACTGGTTAGATTTATTCAAGAGGAAGTGGTACCGGGATGTTATCTGTAAGTTCTTTTTCTTCGTGGTTGGATTGGAGAAGTAGAGATAGTGAAGGTTGTGGGAAATTACTAATGAATGTGAGGAATAGGGCATTTAGTCAATTGGTAGCCAATAATCAATATGCTACTTTAGGATTGATGTTAATGGGATGTCTGGCCCGATTATATAAAGTTCTCGGTGCACTGAGAGTTTTAAATGCAGAGGAAATTGCAGAACAAGCAGGAGTTGTAAATGAGACGCCGCAATTGAACGCGGCAGAGATGGAAGAAGATATGGGCGAGAAGATCGTACGAGACGTTCCAGTTCCAGAGGTGGAAGATAACCAAAAAGTGGAAAGAAAAGAGGAAGATGACACTGGCGTTGAGAAAGCGAAACCAAAGAAGAGGAAACAGGAAGGTAAAGTAGTGGAGCTGAAGACTTCTAAGTTAGCATCATCAGATTCGATGCCGGCGAAACCACCTAAGAAGAAGAGAAAAAAGAAGGGTGGAGACGCTATCGAAGATTTGTTCGCTGGTTTAATTTAATTCCAGGGATAATTAGTGAATTTGATACCCCTATCTGGCAATAATACAAGCGAGTCAATTTTGTTTCACGTTGAGAATCTCGAAAATCTTATGGGATTCAAGTCGTGATAACAAAAACTGATCTCAAGTATCAGAATCGTTCCAAACATTTCAAAGCTCTACTACAGATTTATTTGATATTGACGAAAAGTTGGCCTGCTTCCATTTTGACAATAGTCTTCAACCTTCTTACCCGCCTATCGCTAAAGAATAGAATTTCTCTAGATTCTCCTCTTCTATAACACTTTTCCTACAATCCTGCTACCTCCTCTTAACTCAGCATCCTCCCTAAAGACCTCAATCCTCCACCAACCAATAAATTACCTCCCAAATGCATCCCTGCACTCCAAGCCATGGTATACAAAAATTTGGGACTAAAAACTGTCCAAATAAAAAGGTGCGTTCTCAATACCGTACAGGCTATCATCGTCGCCGTCAAACTACTCGTTGTGAACATCGTTAAAAGGGTTATATGATTACTCCAAACGTTCTTTCGTTTCACTCCGTCCTTCTTCCATAACTTCATGAGCAGGAGATTACCAGCTGAAGTGGTGTAAAGAGGGCCAGCCCAATTAGAGACGAATATCAAAACGCCGACTGCGAAGACGTTGTAGGAATCAACGCCATTATAGGCAGATGAGAGATCAATCGATGAAATGGCATTTGAGTTTCCAAGAGCGAAGAAGGAGGTTTGTTGCAGGAGAAGAGTGGTGGTTGTGATCTCTATGAGGGAGAGATCAAGGGTTGAGAGGAGTGAGTATTGAAGTTCAAAGACTAGAATCAAGGGGATGTTGGTTGCGCGAGTTTGGGTTATGAGAAGAAGGACTATGTGATCATGAATCGTGCGCATGGGAACTGGAATTTGGTTAGTTACAAGAGAACTTTGTAGTGGCGCTGAAGAAAAGGAACTTACCATTCTGGCGTTTACCTGATAGGCTAAAACTAGATAATACGGTGTATACTAGGCAAGATGCAATACCAATAAAAACTAATCTTGCTCGAAGAACAAGTGGGATACCAGTATCATTGTCTGCCATAGTCTTTGCTATACCTGCAAGAAGTTCGGGTGAATCTTCATTTGTAAATGCAAGTTTGAATGTAATTGCTGCGGTGGCCAAAATTGTCGAAATAGCACCAGCAAGAATTTGTGGGAAACGAGGAAAGCCTTTACTGGCGAGTGATTGAAGGTTCCAAAGATATGTAGCGCCCACAAGTGACCAGAGAGTCAATCGATGCTGAGAGAAAAATGTTCGAGCGATATCAGGATCGCCAGCGAATTTCTGACCTGTTTGATTCCAGCGTCTAGCAATTCTGGTGGCGACGAGAATCATTACGGAACTGAAATTTAATAGCCAAAGTCCATGAGATTGACGACGTATACTAGAAATTCGTTAATTTTGAATCAAGGGGCAAGATTAAGAGAGCCATACTTCTTGATCGATAAGAGAAACAGCCACCCTGTAGTCGTCCAATACCAGAAATGCTGTTCCTCTTCTACATAACTACTAGCAAACATCATAATACCGTAGAACGAGCAGATAGCTATAAATGGACTGCTGGCTTTGAGATTGTTCACAATGAACGGCCCTGCCGCCACCCCTGCCATGATTGAAGCCAAAGCAGCGATAACTTGGCCAGTAACCAACTTCTTGACATCGTAATTACTAGCAGTACCACTCATTAAATCTTGAGCTTCCTTCAACCACTAAAATTTTGTTAGATATTGAACGTGGTCATGAAGTAAGACCTACTTTTGTGACAGCTGCGACCCAAACAACGTGATCTTGCTCGTTAGCTTGGAGACCAACAAGGCCTTGCGTAATGCTTCTCCATTGGCATGCCAAATCATCAACACTACTTGATAGTTGGTGGCACTTCTCGGAAGGCCCATCGTTTTCAAATGATGGAAATGTTGCAGTAACAACGCTGAGAATCTGTCTAGCATTTCTCAATAAAATCTGAACACGGTCGTTTCCTATTGAAAATTAGCGAACGAGCTTGACTGTGAACTAAACGAACATACTTTCAGGCCAGAATAGTAGGAAGTCATCAATGAATGCTCCCAAATTATTTTTTGGAACAGGAAATCCAAGTAAAGCTCCAAGTGTAGGAGCAATATCAGACTGTTCAACAGTTTTGTAATACTGAAATTCTTCTTCAAATGGAGCGGGTACCTCAAAATTCTGACGCTGGTGCCTAAGGTCCTTAAACATTGGTGACATGAAGACAAGAGCTGGGGAGGTTTCTCCTGGAGCAGATCCACCATGATTACCAGCATCATTCATTCCGTGGTCACCACATAACACTAAGAGGGTCGAGCTCAGGTAGTTTTGAGCTTCCATATTCTCATAGATTAATCGGACAATACCATCCATCTCTTGCTGTTTGGGAATCATATTCGGGCTAGTAAAGCAATTAGTCTCTCTTGTAGAAATTTCACAATGGCAAAATCTCACCTCCGTGGACCTGCTTTATGACCAATATGATCTAGTCCAAGGTAGTGGAGAACCATAGTATTCCAATCATCCTTCATTAACTCCTCCGGAACATGTCTGGTCACATTATTGTCCACTTCAGTGAAATCCTAACAGAAATTTATATTCAGCTACATTCATTCTATGTACAGTCTCAGCCACTGGATGACTGACCGAAACAAAGAAGCTTGAAGTTCCATCTGCTCTGTCAAAAGTTTCTGGGAATAGCTTCAACCAAGTGTCATCTCCATACATGACCATCTTTCCTCCCCCTTTGGCTTTCATTTGTGCTAGCCATGTATCTTGAGTCGCCAGAGAAGAGGATGTATCGGATTCAGCGAAATTTAGAATTACGTCAAGGAATGAAGGTATCGAACCCGTTGTTATAGCTTTTATTCTTGGCATAGTAATGGTAGGAGATGTCGCATGAGCTGTGAATGGAAGAGCTGCGCCATTTGAAATAAGACTGTGGAAAGAGTTAGTATGGTTCAAACAAGCTTGCAGATCTGCAATCGACCTTTGAGTAAATTGGAATCCTGAGTTATTTGAGAATACAAAGTCGCTGTTAAGGTTAGCTTTCATGTCAAACTCTGCTTCAAATCTTCTACCTTCTCAGCGCATCAACAACCATAAAGATGACCTTATCGAATGGAGCTCCCGGAGGAGCACCATATCCCAGAGACTCATACTGTGCCAATCCAGATAGAAAGGGCTTGTAAGGAAAGAAACCACTAGCAAATATCAATATAGCAATTGGAATGAGAACATTTGCTACCACGAGCAAAGAATTTCGTATTCTTGAGGCCATCTTGTGCCTTTAAGTCCTGACCCATTGATTGTTTGTGTGCAATCAATGATATTTTAGCTTAAAAATGCGAGAACCTTGTAGTTCAAACTATTCTTTGCCATTTGAATTCATTCAAGAGAATAATTTAAGAAGTTCGTATTGAGAGAAGCTAGGTGTCAGGTTGACGAACGCGTTTTGGCGTCTTGGATAAGAAATCCTTATCGGTCGACATGGATAAATCAGATATTTTTTGTGCAATGCATGTGTGAGGGGAAGGGTCTTTTGTATACTGGGGACGGTGGAAAGGTTGAAACTTTCAAATTCTTGGTACAATCTAACGTCTCGAAGTCCTCCAAACTACTCTTCAATTTTATCTGCCAGGAGGTGTAACAAAACTCTCACCATGAACTCCGTGCCCCCCAAAACCAAATAGTCCGTTGCGCCTATAAATTATAATTGATTTTCGACTTTCAACCTCTCAATTCTCCTCAATAGATCTTTTGCTTTCTACCGCCTCCTACTTTCTTTCCGTTCTTGTATGTAGTAAAAGTCATCTGGGACTTGCGACTGCTAACTCTTCTCTTCGAGATACGGTTCTTTGACTTGGAGCCAACCTTGCTGATAGCATCTACCTCCATTTCTGCAGTTTAATGTGTCAGTCAAAGATTCGAGTAGGCGCTAGGTTCTAGAGTCTTAGAGTACCTTCGGATGGCCTTTCTTGAGCTGCGGCGGTGGATTTCGAAGTGTCTTTTGCAGATGCTAAATGAAACATTAGAGAACAAATCCTTCAAAAGGAATGTTGACTCCATACCCTCTTCGCCCTTCCCTTCTTTTCCTACCATGTCCACATCTTCTGTCTTCGCTGATGGCTTTGGCTGCGAAATCAATTCCATAAGTTTCGCATTCAACCTCTCTGCTCGTGCATTCTCGACCGGACCAAAGACTTTGGCTTTCAAGGCGGAGTTGTTTGCCTTGATAGAACTTGAGCGCGCGCCCTTAGCCATTGTTGTGTGTGGGTATGATAAAAGAGAGTATTACAAGAGATGGTAGAGTATTGTTGAATGTTGTGGTAGAGTGTAGAAAAATCGATGTAAACTTCTCCCAATAGCGCAATGAATGATTTTGATAGATCTCCATTCACTCACTCACTCAATTAATCTTTTATCTTAGCGGCAAAATCTAAATCCAATAAATTTATTCTGCCAGCTACTCACTATTTACCGCCTGCCTACTTGAGTTTCGTGATCTTCTTCCATTACGACTCGGAGTTGAACATTGAATTTCACAATTTATTCTACGACAAGAAAGGCGAAAGAGCAAAGGAGCATTCGGAAGAACAAAAACAAAGATCAATTTGTTGCCTTCGTCAATACCGTAAGGAATATCGAAATCGTACTCTTTACAATTTCACATCTGTTCACCATTTCTAAGAGTTTCCAAACTCCTCAAAACTAATTGTTTAGCTTGTTCAGCACCATCCAAGGACAGGAAATGGCCTCGATGGGGGGTGGTAGTTTCCTCGACCCAGAACCATATGTACGCAAGGTGAAAAATGGTGGAATGCTCAACCAAACACTGAAGAACATATGTCTAGCTGAGGATATGAAAGTAAATGGTGTCAAGGCAGAATTACAGACAAGAATTGTTGACAGTAAGTTGTTTGCATCTTGGAGAGGTTGATAATCGCATCGTGAATTGCCGCACTGTCGTAGTCTCATACTATGGTCTGCCGGCGCTGCGATTCTACAACAGCTTACCATAAGAGAGAACGAAGCTGACAATTTATTTCTTTCGCTATAGGAATCAGATTCTATGCGAATGCGCCAGATGAAATCAAATTCAATCGGCTAGGACGTATTATAGATCATCCAGAGATAGTGGCTGCTGGAGTGCACTCACGTCCATTTCAAGGATCAGCTTCTCCAGCTGCCAATTCGATGTCCAACGGTGCAACAAACTATCCAGCATCTAGAGCAGCTATGCAGCCATATAAGCCGATGGGTTATGGAATGAGTATATGAGCCCACGATATTAGGATTGTGCGCCCTGTCTAATTATTCATAGAGCTTGAATTTAAACCAAGTCCATTTTACGATATCGTCGAGCAAATTGGAGAGGTCAAATTGTGTGATGGTAAATACGCTCCTTGCCTGGTTTTTATCTAAGGTATGCTAATCATGATTAAATAGCCATGAATCAACATCGCCATACCGTCAACATACCAGTCAAAGCTCAGAACCATCCGATCTTGTCCAAAGCTCACAACGACCCCACGTTGAGAGTAATGATTTTCTGCGCGAGCGAAGGCAATGGAGGACAAGATATTGCTTTTCCTCATCAATCAGAGGTCAAAGTGAATGGAGGAGACGTAAAGGCAAATTTGAGAGGATTGAAAAACAAGCCTGGATCAACTCGACCGGTTGATATCACCAAGGAATTGAGGTTGAAGGTTCCTGGATATCAAAATACCGTCGAGATGACCTATGCGTTGACTACAAAGGCAGGTCTCAATGGAGCTTTCGTATCATCAGAGGTGAACAAACACCACGCTATCCCACCATGTATTTCTCCAGGATTTACAATGTGTTGTTTATTGACTTTTGTACCGCGAAATTGCAGTGCTAACAAAATTTCAGAAATTCTATTTGGTTTTATATCTGGTCAAGTTAGTTCCCGTCCCAGACTTGGTCAAGCGATTACAGGCTGGCAAGAAAATTACCAGGGAATCAGTGATCAACGATAGTAAGATGCCCTTCCGTCAATATTTTTGTTCTGAAACCTAATTTTATACAAGTGGTCAATAAATCACGAGATGCGGATATTGTAGCTACTGCCTCAGTTCTATCATTGAAGTGTCCATTGTCAACCTTGAGAATTGATTTGCCTATCCGATCAATATCGTGTAGGCATAACCAATGCTTCGATGCTACTTCTTACCTTCAATTACAAGAACAAGGACCAACTTGGCTATGCCCAATATGCAACAATTCTGCGCCTTTTGAGACATTAGTGGTTGATGAGTAAGTTGATTATCCTTTCATGGGTAGGATCAAGTTTGCTGATAGAGTTTAAAGATATGTAAAGAATATATTACAAAGCACCTCAAGATCCGTTGATCAAGTTACAGTCGAACCAGAAGGACAATGGAAACTCTATAATAGACCCGATGCCATATCATCACGCCCCGGTGTAGCTTCAAGCGATTTCTCTGATGACGATGATGACTTGATCGAAGTCTCGCCAGTTGGAAGGAAAGCCAGTACACCAATTACAAAAAATGGTACTTCGAACGGCACTTTACATCAAGCACAAAGTACTCGCAACTCCTTATCGGCAGCACCATCTAATCGATCTAATCCATTAAACCCATCAACAGGTGGTAAAAGACCCATCTCGGAAGTTATTGATCTATGTAGTAGTGACGAAGAAGAATCACCTGCAAGACCTCCACCGAAAAGACAAATGACTTCGTCATTCTCTGGACCAAGTTATTTAAGCGGTGTAGCACCTGTTCCTAGATCGAATTACCTAGATTCTTGACTAAAAAAGCGTTAGCTAGGGAAAAGTAGATTCATAATATCTTTGCTTTTTAGCATCCAAGATTTCTTTTCGAACCTGTTTTCCCTAGCTGCCTAGTTCATTGTACGATATTTCTTTTAATTCTTGAACATGGTTGGTACGATACGAGATGGGCGTTTGGGAGGCTATGATGACATTGTCTGGAATATTGCTTCGGTCTGCACCTGGTTGGGATGAATAGGTTGGATTACCAATGATTTGCTTGACAAGCCATGGGAAATACAGCGAATGGAGTTTCTATGGTAGGAGGGATCTGGGAAGATAGGGAAGAACACATAATTTGCAGATTGCTAGTCGCTGGTTTACGAACTGGCTACCTAGTTTCTCCTGGAATCAATGGATGTATGAGATGCGTGCCGTGAGCTTTGGGCTTTGAGTAGCAGATTGGGGGGAAGAAGGGCAGATCTACATAGGTATCTTCGAGGACGCTCGTGGAATATGAAATATACTTAAAGGACGGTGCTCTTTCGATGATGAGTGATGGTGTGATTTAATTCGATGCATTGCTGTGAGGGATAAAGTTTTGTTTCGATGAACACATATAGATTAAAACTTCCTGCGTAATATGGCCCTGTCACTCACTCGCCGGTTCGAATGAATAGATGTGTCGTAGGGATATGCCGATCATCTAGAAAAGAGGACGAGAATTACTACTTTTGAACTCGGCATTTTATTATCAATGGAAAAACTTTTGTAAATATAGTATAGAGACCGTGTTCATATCAAACATTTCCATATCTCCCCAACTAACAACCTCGCACTTATCCACCTTTGAATACTCTCACTTCCTCTCCGCGAATTCATGAATCCACGCCGCCAACTTCTCCGCTCCCTCCAGCGTAATAGTATTATAATTACTAGCTCTAATACCCCCAACACTTCTGTGACCTTTCAACCCCGTCAAACCTCTCTCCGTGGCACCCGCTAGGAAAGACTTTTCGGCATCGGTGATATTTTCCGATGCGGTGACGCGGAAACAAATGTTCATTCTTGAGCGGACGGAGACGTCGGAGACGACTTTGTAGATGGAGGGGTGGGCGTCGAGGGCGGAGTAGATGAGGGTGGATTTTTTGTTGGAGAGGGCTTCTTGGCCTGCAATGCCGTCGGGGTAGGTAGAGAGGAGTTTTTGGAGGACGAGTCCAGCGATGTAGACGCTGCGGTGGGGTGTTAGTGGGAGATTGGGTAGGGGAGGGTGGGGTGGGGAGGGAAAGGGGGAAGAAAAAGATGGAGAAACTTACTCAAATATGCTTAGGGTGTTGTAGAGACTGTTGTTCTTGGCGATTGTTTCGTAGGAGAGAACAATGGGGCCAATCGGCAACCCAAGTTTGCGTAGGAGAGTTGGAGCAGGTGTTGCGACGACAGGGGGAAGGAGATTCTTCTTAATGATTACCACGGTGATTCCTGTACTTCCCAAGTTCTTCTGTGCACCGAAAAAGACGACGGAGAAATTCTCGACGGGAATTCGTCGCGAGAGAATATTGGAAGACATATCTGCTACTACGATAGGTTCATCTTCTTCTCCATTTGGCTCTAGAGATTTTGGGAAGCCGGGGAACTCGACTCCATCGACCGTTTCATTGTCGCAATAGTATACCATTGCTGGATTTTTCGAAAGCTTCCAATCTTTTTCCTCGGGGATCTTTCCAAATTTGCCATCATTGATCTTTCGTCCATCTGCGACAATATTGACATGTTCTGCGCCTACCAATCTCGCAGCCTCCTGACTAGCTTTGAGAGACCATGAACCCGTAACCAAATAATCTATTTTAAGCTCCTCATCCACCGCCTTCTGAAGTTCCTTTACCAGCGCATCTTCTGGAATATCCTTATCCGACGTAATTCCCAAGCTCTTTAGAATCTTTTGTTTTCTCTTCTCGACCCAGACTCCAACTAAATTGTATATCGTTGCGGAAAACTCACCACTGCCACCTCCTTGCATGAAGAGGATTTCATAATCATCTGGCACCTCCAAGTATTTTGCCAAATCTGCCTTCGCGGTATTCAATACATTGGCGGCGATTTCAGATCGATGCGAGTGCTCTGCGAGACCGAGACCAGTACCATTGTAATCTACGAGGGCTGCGGCTGCGGTTTCGAGGACATCGGTAGGGAGGAGTGCGGGACCAGCACCGAAATAGGTGATTTCTGAACGGGATGGCATTATTGATTGAGGTGATGAAAGGAATGAATGCGCTGGTAATTGTGAGGTTTGAAGTTTATTCTAGATAATTGGATTGTGGTGAATACTTTGAGACTTTGAAATTCTTTCAATTGAATGATTTTAAAGAAATAAGAAAATGAGTCAAATGAAACAATGACTCTTCAACTTTTGGGATTTATCGTAAAGCTTGAATGATTCAGATGTATGGGTGGGTGGTGGTGGGGTAGTGTCGCACTAATAACTACTCAGACTAGATATTATATAATGGACTCTCGCTTGTGTGGGTTGGGACAGTTGGTGTGGTAGGTAGTGTTCTTCAAGAGTTTCGATCGTTCTTCTGGTGCGAAAAAAAAAAAAAAGGTATAAATCAATTTCTGCGTAGATTTTTTCTCATTTCTTGTTCATTATACAGAACTCTTATTAGAAGACTCATATTTTATAACTTTTAATCATAATTCATTTAATCGTGAAAACTACACACATTCTTCATCATCAAATCCAAATCGCAAGATAACTTCTCCTATTCCCACAACCGAAGAAAAAGAATCAATACGAGTACTGGTACCGATACATATCGAATACAATTCGACTCCACATCACTGCAACCAAAAATCCACACACACGGACGTCAAAATGCGTGTTCGCTACAATCCAATTCGTTCTCTCAATACACATCCATGTCGTTCTCTCCCATCTCTCCAACCGAGAACTCGCGTCATTCAACCCCGCCATCTGGATTCTTCCCCCACAATTACATCTCAAACGAGAATATACGAATGGTGGGCTAAGAAAATAAAGGGGGAGAAGATTGTTCATGGGAAGGGAATTTCTATTGCTTTGGCTGTAGGAGGGATTATTGGGGTTGTCGCGGATGAGAAGATTAGGGACATTGTGTTGAGAAGAGGAAAGGGGGGTGAAGGAGGAGATGGAGATGGGGGGTGACGTAAATGGTATGCCGTTACTTGTTATAGGACCGAGGAATAAGAGATGGACGGATGATATTGTTTTTCAACTTGACGATGCGGTGGGATTTATCTAATTTCCGAGTTTCTCAGATGGAATTTCGATTTTAGGAATCGAGGGAGGGAGGAATCTTTTGTCGCTTGTTTTTCGTCTATCATCTGTTATCTTCAGCATTATCCACCACCGTTTATCACCTATCATTCAGCATCTAAAATCTACGAATTATAGAGAAAGAAACACCACAATTCGAATCGATCGATCAATCACCCAGAAATTCAGAGACTAAAACTGCAAATTCAATCGAATAGTTCTCCGTACTTGCCCTAAAATCTTAGTGTCGGCACAGCAAGAAAATTCTCCGGGACTTTCTACTATATTAGTACACCACTTCGACTAATACTATTACATCTACTACATCGACTTCTACAATAATCAGATCACTGCTTCAAATTATATCGATATTAATACACAATTACAATCTACTACTCTAGACACTTCAACTTTATATCACACACCACACACATATACACATACCGCATCCATCGTTTTAACCATCTTCACCCACGCCTTCCCTTCAGCGGAAAATGCTACCCTCATTCCTCCTCCGCAAAACAGTCAAAACCCTCATCCGTCTCGACCGAGCCCTTCTTCCTCGTCCACCACCTCCATCCTATCTCGCTCGTCTAGCTACCCATTCATCATCGACAAATCCAAGGAATAGGATGAGAGTATGGTGGTGGAAGAAAACACCTATGCAGCGAAACTCGGCTGTAGTTGATGCTCCTTTGCTTTTGGGATTAAGTTTGTGGGTGGGTGTTGAGGTGAGGGATATCTGGAGGGGGTCGAGGATGTCGAAGGTGTTGAAAGGGGGAGATGGGGGGGGTAGAGATAGGTATGAGGGGGCAGGAGTTGGAAGGGGTTGAGTAGTTATTGGGGGAGGGGGGGTTAAGGGAAGGGTGGAAGGAAATTTATAATCAGCTGGGTCTGTTCATAAGTTGGAAGATTAATATGGTCCGCAACATACCCGCATCGTCGCATAATCTGAGTATCTGTACATTATGGGTTAGGGCGTACTGGATTCGCAATGGTCGCTATCCCACTTGTCTTAGAACTTTGGGGTCAGGAGAACGGATTCAAGTTTGCGCTGCTAGAGGGGTATAGGATGGGATGGGATGAATATTACCAATAGCAGCCTCCTGGACTGGCTCAGGAATGGAGTTTGGTTTTGGATATTGGGTATACATTATATGGCTATATCTGAAATATACAAAGGGTCGAGAGTCATGGAGTTTCTGGGTCACCATTGGTATAAGAATGTGGGTGGATTCCGCTTTTTGTAGATTATAGATCATGTAATTAAAGTATAGACGTGCTAGGATAGAATACTTGAAATTAACACATTATCATCCCTGATATACACATACACATATGTATAATTATCAACTTGACTCACAGATTCTTCTGTATATATATTTACCTACTCACTCACTCACTCAATATCTAAAACTCATTCCCCTGAGTATTCAGAATTTCAAAGGCAACTAATATGTATATATATCCCTTTCTCAACTCATTCTCTGAGATTTTATCTTCTATTCTGCTCTTTGAATGCGTAGGGATGAATGAGTTTCTCGTTTTCATTTTTCAAGGACGTTTATCGTCTTGTAGCTTTATTCCTGTCATCCCTCTCATCCCTCGCTCTCAAACCCCCAAACTTCATTATCATATTATATCACCAGTCTACCTACATACCCACCCACTCAAACACTTATCAACCTCCAATCTCAAATTATTCATCATCCATTCAATAGATCATTCAATCCACCCATGCACAATCCATCCACTTATCCCATAACCCTCACAAACCTCATACAAATCTCACGACTCTCATACAAACCTTATTTACTACTTTTCCTCCCCACCCCCCTTTCTCCCCCTATTTACAATACAAAAGACACCCATGAAACTCCTGTCACACACACATGTTGATTTGATTCAGAAGCTTCAGAACAAATAATATTGAACCTCTCTCTTTCTATCATTTTATCATTTTATCATCCATTCACACTACTATCCTCCCGTCTTTCCTGATATCTTTCCTCCATTCTCCTCTCTTGGCATTTGTCTGTTCCTTTTTATTTGCTCATTTTTACCTCTCATCTCTCCTCCCATTCTTTCTCTTAGTAATTAGATATTTAAAATGAGTAGGTATATGAGAACTATTATTATCATCATCTTCCTCCCCATACCCTTTCTTAGGCTGCACAGAAATTATCCATACCCACAGGTAATCTGTAGGTAATCCGCCCTATAGATTACCCATTAGAGGTTCTACTTGCTTTATAGATTATTTGTAGAAATAAATAATTATCTGTTTTATAACAAATAACTTGTAGATACCTATAGATAATCTATAAAGCAAATAATCTATAGATAATTTATAGGTATATAAATTATTCGTAAATAATTTATAAATCTATAAATAATTATATAATAGATTGATATAAAAATTAATATAAAGTTATAAATAGCTTTAAAAATTAGATGATAATTTATAAATTATTTTTTATTTATAAATTTTTTGTAGATTATTTACTTTACAAATTATTTATAGATATATAAATATTTACAAATAATCTGCAGATAATTCGTGGGTTATTTATCCAGGATTTCGAATTATCCGTCTTATAGTGAATAACCTACAGATTATCTACAGAGATCATTATCCACTTCGCGGGTACTCGTTGCGCAGCCTACTCTTTCTCGTTTAAATAAGTATTTTAGTATTCTAGTACATCCTTTTCTATTCTATCTAAGTATTTCATTATTTCATAGTTTATTCTATCTAAATATATCGCTACCATATATATTATCTCATCTCATCACATTGCTTTAATTCATATTTCACTTTACATATCATCTCATTTTGTCTTTGTACTCTATATTCATCGTATTATGTCTCATCTTCTAAAGTTCAAGTTCAAGTTATATATATAAAAATTATATATTTAACATCGTATTCAACATCATATTCAACATCATATTCAACATCATATTCAACATCATATTCAACAAGTAAAATCACACAAAACAATCTAAACAAACCAGAACAAAGCCTTAAAATAATATATATATATAAATAAACCAGAATAGAAATATAGACAAAACTCGTCCTCTCCTCTCCTCTCCTATTTTCTTATTCTCGCGTAAAATTGCTGTTATCTTTTTCTTCTATTTCCCTCCTTTTTCTCATTCTCGTCTATTATCCAGTTTTCTCCTCTTCTTTCAATTCTACCCTTCCCCTTTCCTTTTCTCCCCCCCTCCATCCTCGGTTACTATTCTCCCTCTCTTCCTCTCTCCCTTTTCCTTTTCATCTTTCAATCTTCTTCTTCCTCATTCTCGCCTATTTTTCTTCTCTTTTCTAATAATCTATTTTTACACTATCTCTCTTCCTCTTCTCCCTAAATCTCTAATCCTTCAACCTTTTCTCTTCCTTATTTTTCCTCTTTCTAAACTCTCATCTCCTTCCCAAAATCGTTAGTATTCATACCTTCAAACTCTAACCTGCAATCTCCTCTCCTCACTCCTCAATAGTCAGGTATTAACCAACTAATTAATCAATTAATCATCTAATGCCCACCCAGATATATAAAAATGTTCAGTCAATTGAAAAGATATACTCATGTAGATACTATAGATCAAATATATACATTAAATATATAATCTTACATCAAATATATACATCACATACAGCATTATATACAACAAGTTTAAATCATATAAAAGAATCTAAAACAAATCAAAACAAAGCTCAAGATAACACACACTCACAAATGTATACATAAATTAGAATAGGAATACAGAATATCATCTCTCTTCTTCTCTCCCTTATTCTCATCTATTCTCTCTCTTTCTACTACCTCTCTTTTCTCCCTACTATCTCTCCTTCTTCTTCTTTTCCTTTTTTCTTTTTCTTTTCCTTATCTATTCTCATTTTAATTCTAATTCCCCTCTTTTTTGTTTTTTAAACTTATTTTCCATTTTTTTATTTTTTATTTTTTATATATTCTTTTTAAATATTAATTATTCTTCTTCTTATCTATTATTCTTTAAATATTTCCTTTTCCCTCTTCTCTCTCTTCTCTCTCATTTCCCTTCTTCTTCTTCTCTCTCTTATTCTTATCTATTCTTCCTCTTTAATTATCCCTCTTTTCATATTATATCTTTTTCCCCTACTACCTCTCCTTCTCCCCCTTGTTCTTTTTCTCGCCTATTCTCATCTTAATTCTAATTCCCCTCTTTTTTTTATTAAACTTATTTTTTCATTTTCTTATTTTATTCTTATTTGATCTTTATTCTCCTTTTTTTTCTTTGTCTTTTCATTTATTTTTGCTTTTTGAATACTAATCGTTCTCTTTCTTATCCATTCTCCTCTTCCTTTCTATATCTCTTCGCTTCCTCCCCCTCCTCCTCTCTCCTCCTTCTCTCTCCTTCACAACCCTTCAACCCTTCAACATCTTCTCCCCTTACTAACCAGATATCAATCAATCATTCAACTCCAATAGCTAAACCCCAACACCTACCTAGTAGTCAGATAATCAAGTATATCGAGAAAAAAAACATCAACTCATTATATTAAATACCTACATACATATATACTACTAAGTCATCTCTTTCAACGAATATATATCTATATCTATATACTACTACTACTAAATCGTTCCTTTTAAAAGATATACATTTATTATCTATATATATATCTCGATCATCTTATCTTTATTCATTCAATCTTTATTTATTCCTCTTACATTTAAATAATCACTTTAATACATATAATAAACTATATACTACATCTTAAACTAATATAAACATATATACTCTATATTATATACTATAATTTACAAGTTAAAGCTCGTACAACTTCAAATTACATATAAAAACTAAAATCAAGATCTCATACAAAATCCTCATACTATATACAAGAATCACAATCTATATATAAACCAGACACAAAAACCAAAACTAAACCTTATACAACCCTAAACCACACACAAAAATCAAAACCAAAACCTTATACAAAATCCTCACACTACACACAAGAGCTACAACCCATACATGAACCACGCACAGAAATCAGAACCAAACCTCACGCAAGAACCACACCAAAACCCCAACCTCATACAAAAACCTGACACTACACACCACACACGAGAACTAGAACCAAATCTCGAATCTCACACCTCAAACCACACACCTTAAACCAAAACCAAAACCAAACTCAGAAAAATTGAAATCATATAATTAATAATAAAGTAGAGAGTAAACTCATCTAAAGTGAAATAGACTAAAACACACTCTGATGATCTAACGAACAGAGAGATGAAGTGAGGTGAAGTAACCAGGAGAGACGATAGACACATAACTTGATCCATATCCTTATCCCTACCCTTTTACCATCAATCTTCATCTTGTTCATCTCGCTCATCACCTATCATCTACCATCCACATTAATTTGTCTACCATATTGCTCTATAACAATCAAACGCCTTCATATGCAAATCATTTCCATCCATCCATCCATCCATTATTTCAAACCGACATGAATCTACATCAAAAATGCATTTCATGTCATACCATACAATATATACAATCAATGCATCTCCTTCCTTTGCCCTCCCCCTCACCCCAATCAAAAGACCACTTGACATGTATACATATCTTGTCAATCCTCAAAAATCCAACTAATTCATCTTCTTTTCCACACCACCATAAACTCTATCATCCTCTCCTTCCGCTTCCAAAACCAGCTTCTCCATTTCCGCAACCTGTCTCTCCCACTCCTTTTGTCCCATCTTACTTTCCTTTCTGAAAAGTTCCTCATTTGGTTTTCTATAACTACCTCCCAATCTATCCCAAAGTGTTGTATATTGACCATAATTATAATTGAAGTAAAGATGATGCATCGTATGACAAGCGGCACCATTCAAAATTGGACTGTTGGCCACATATTCTCCATCATGAATGAAAACCGTCCAGACCTGTACGAAGAAGAAGAGACCGAGGTATGCGAATTTTTGAAGGGGGAAGATAAAGGGAAAGATGTGGTAAGGAAGAGATTGCATCCAGCCATCGACGGGATGAAATGCAATTGAAGCGTAAGGAGTTGGCATAATCCATTTGTGATGTGGTTTATGAAGTGTCTTGTATACGGAAGGATGATGGAGACCGCGATGAATGAAATAGACGAAACAATCTGTGAAGAGGATGAAAAGTGGGAATTGGAGCAGATTGTACCACATACCCGGTCCTTCCGATGTAAGATCGTACAATTTCGAATAGCCTCTAACTTCTGCGAGGAAGAAAGGAGTGGTGAGAATGGACATTAAGGGCATCGAATTACATGCTTGAGAGATTTCCATGCGAATTTGATTTTTGAGGAATTTAGGATGTTGAAAGGTAGTTTTATCGAAGACGAATAGGTACGAGAGAGTAGAGATTGTGAAGTAGATTGCTGCACCTGCGATCCTATTTTTCAATATCAATTAGTATTTTCTTCATTCCCTCTACGTCTTGATCGCATTGAAAGTAAGTAAACATACCAAGTGATTAGGAACAATGAGAAAGCTTGTCGAAAAATATTGTCTCTATCCCATTGACTAGTGTAAGCCGCGTCTGTCGGTTCAAACTGAAGAAAAGAATTCGAAGGATGATATTGCCATGTTGAAGCTGTTTTTGGATCGAGTAGTGTCCCGTTAATTTGTTCTCCAATGGCATTTAATAGTATCGGTTTGGCGGGTAAGAGAGCGGAATAGAAATGATCGAAGAAGTATGTGTCGGTGACTTCTAAAGCGATATCCATGGTGTCCGAATGTCTGCAATGCAGAGATCTTTTTGTGCAGAGTCAATTATCGTTTGGTGTAGTAGGAGAAGTATATTGACTTCTTGAAGGGCTTCGAAAATGTGGAAGATACAAGGAAAAAGGAAGCCAAATAAATGGATTCTATCTTTCCTTTGCTTGTACTTTTTTGTTGAGTGAATTGGTCTTGTTGTTGTAATCACCTAGGTAGGGTCATCACACAAGGGTTGGAAGGATCGATTTGGAAAAGAAAGACTTGGTGAATATCACACCACGAGATAATCAAAGGTATTCAAGAGCAAGAGGGAAGAGGAAAGAAAAAGGAGAGTGGCGGTATGTTTTATTAATGTGATTTTTGAATGTTGATGCGACAGTCGGAAGTTCTGGGAGAGAAACGAGGATGGGATGGACATGTACTGTGATATCTACTAGGAATACCATACTAGGTAGGTATGGGTTGTAAGGGTAGATGCATTTCAACTTTTTTTTCTCTAAACAGAAGACCCTCTTTTCTTTCTTCTTTATGTAGAATTTAGGTGATAGTTATCGTACATCCCGTACATCGTATATAAAATATAAAACATAAAATATAAAATTGATCCGATCCGACATGATTATTTCAGAAAACTCGAGAATGTAAATTAGAGGATTTTAGAATTTTATTATAATAGACTAACGTAGTTCATTAGTATGTGAACTATATTAGTATGTAAGCTACTTCGAGAATACATTAAAATTAAGGTTTTCTTAATATTTATATTTTAATAATTAATCATTATTTTTAAAATAAAAAATAAATAAAAAATCATAATAAAAATAAAATATTTATAATATTTAAGTTTTTTTTCTAAATAATTCATTTTAGCTAGAATTATTATACTTTATATTATAAAAACTCTTTTTCTTTAATAACTTTAATAATAATTAGAATTTTTATTTTTTATTTTTTTTGAAATAATTGAAAAATTGGATTTGATATAAGAAGTTTTTAGAAAATTCTATTGACTAATAAAGAAAGTATACGATTATACATAGACGAATTTTATATAGAAAATAAAGTAGTCTATATGATAATATAATCTACATTTTAATAAACTACGTTAATATTAAAGTCTTAATACTTAATTAAAAGATTAATTAAAACTACAATTTATATTAAAATTTAATATTATATATTATATGATTGATTTATTATTAATGTATAGAATAGATTTTATTATATTAGAATTACTACAGATTAGAGTTAGTACTATTAATTACTTTAGAGTAATTAGTAGAATCTTTCTAATAATCGACAAGTAGAGGATTTTAGGATTTTATTATAATAGACTAATAGAATTTCATCTATTATAGAAAATATCTCTAGTATTAATTAAGACTAATAAGAACTCTCTCTCTCTCTCTCTCTCTCTCTCTAGACAAATAAAGTAAATATAAAAAATAACAACCCCCTACTAAAAACCAATAAAATACCGATATCTACAAATACCTACTCCGTAGATCATCTATCATCTATCAATTCATCACACTCCGCACGAATCAAACAACATTCTCGATTCGTGATAGACATTCGATCTGATAACATTAGCTCCGTTTTCTTGCCTTGACCTTGTAATTCCTCTTACTCCGTCTTACTTGTGCCAGCCAATCCTCGCGGAGACTCGGATCCAATAAATAAACCGTCGAATCTCTTACGAGAATCTTTCGTTTGTGGGTTGTGGGATTATCATTCGATTCGAGTTTTCCACCTTCAAGATGAGGTTATCACCAGAATTAACAGCTCATACATCGTACCGATCCTGCGTTCCTTGTAGCTGGTATATTTACTGGTGCGAGTACATACAGAGGATTAGATAGATAGATAGATCAACGGATGTTATATTCCTATACCCTACAAATCTAGACAAAGGGCCCGTCTCCCACCAGCTAGTCAGCTAGTCAGCCAAGTAAAAGATTCATCATGATATATTCTTACAACTTCCGATCTATCCATCTGTCATATCAACCTAGGTATCTCGCCCATTTCCAAGCTTCGATTCCATCACCCACCCATACCACCGAGAATCCCTAGGGACTAGGGAGCTAGGAAGGTAAACGAAGATCACGGCATCTTCCCTTTCCGAACCCCTCAAATCAGCTCACTCATTCACACTCCTGGGTGATCTACCTCTGCCAGGCTCCCAAGTATTCAGGTGCAACCCTCACACCTCGGACATCTATCTACTCATTGGTGCATCGGTCAATTGCTGCATCTTATCTCCGTGTGTAAGCGATGGTACCTGCTTTTGGACGTAGATAGATATGTATTGGTTAAAGTAGAATGGATGGAAGAGAGAGGGGGAAGAGATCTAATCTTATCTTTGGTTTGGTGGTATGTTATATTATTTGGGAGATCCATCTTATTTAACTCAAGTCATGTACTTCGTGCTGGTATTTTGATGTTTTGTGAATGTGATGATGGGATGAGATGTGATAGGACAAGTTGGGATGATATAAGTTATTAGGATGGATGAAGGGAAGAATCTTGATCGGCTTTTAATGATAATATTTTGATTGTTTGAGTAGATAATAATGAACACTAACTATACTTTAATTTAAGCAAGTATCTATTCTAGTAGATAATAGATAGATACACCTCCCTTTTCAGATCCCTTCTAGATGAAGGATAAAGGAAATGCCATATCACTCAATCATCGATATCATCTTTCCATCTTTCCATCTTTCCATCTTGTCGAACATATGAGAATAGCTTCATGTAGAGGCAGATGTCGAATTCATATAGAGAAACCGGAGATTCAGAATTTCTTCAACGCATTATATTGATATTGACTTTTATCACTCGTGAACACTTGAAAAGAATGAGAAGCTATCTATAACTCTATCCCGAATAAAGAAAGAGTTTTAATTATATCCACTTCGATCCGTCACAATTCTATTGAACTGCCATTCTTCCTCGAACCCTTAGAATCAAGGCATTGAAAACTCAAAGCCCGAACCCCTATTCCTTACCCACTCTACAGAGTAATAAAGTTGCCACCACTCACATGTTCTTTCCCCACCTTCATCATCTCTCCCGTAACCGGCATTCTCGGTTCAGAAAGTGATCCCGGGGCCATCAAACATGAATGCTCTTATGGCGCAAAATATTATCCCGCGCAAAAGGTTACACACACATATATATATCTCTTTCGTCTCTCCCACCCATGTTTATCTCCCCGATGGTCGGTACAACATGAGTGAAATGGAAAGGTTTGTTGAGTCAAGGGAACACCAATCAATGTGCTATCGATGTGCAAAATAGTCGGAAGCCTTGAAATCCAGGGTGGTTGAGGTCTTCTTCACTCAGGATACGCACCGAAAGATCGCCTTTGATTTAAACTTCGAAAAGCTTACGTGTAACGAATTCTTATAATGATGTATGGGTGATGTACGAAGTATGAGTGTGCGCTTGTTGAAAAAGCTTGATAATGAAGTGGTCACTCCAGTCGACAGTAGCAATATTACAAGATACCTATTCCTGAGTATCCCTAGTCGTTAGTCTCAAAGTCAATTTAACGGATTCTCTTTCGAACGTGGCTGAAGAACAAGTTTGTGACGAAACGGGCAGCATCTTTCTCTCTGCATATCCCGTACCTACCTACAGTGGCGTCTGGTGGATTTGAAGGATTGTCTTATACCTCATGGAGTATCATTTGTGAAAGCTAATGCCCGTACATGCATGCAAGCGATTGAAGCCTACTCTGTACTTTGTTTGTACTTATAGTGCAGTGCGCCTGTTGGTGATGTGATGGAGGGTATGGTTGCATTCGGCCAGCTGTAAACTACAGAGGAATCAATGGTTTACCAATGAGGTTATTCATCATGAGTTTGTATGATTGGATGTTGATAACCTTACTGTAGACCTCTTACATTTTGGTTGATAAAAGAACTGAATATTTATTAGTGGGTAGGGATACCGACCGGTAAGTATCAGATAATGGGAAGAATAACTTTGAGCTCCGATTAGGTAATTCGACCATTCGACCCCCTTCATTATTATTAATCATTCTACATGCTTTTCTCCCCTAGTCATAATCCTTGGGTGCACATTTCACTAGGATTTCATGACAGACTATAAAACCAACAAGGATCAGTAATAATAAATGTGAGACAAGGTTTAAATTGTGGCAACTGTGGGTTAGGTGAGTTTGTGAGTTTGTGAGTGTGTGAGTTGGATCACGTGACATACGCCTTTTCCATCGATTTCGGTGCTCTCAGCGTTTTCATGCGTGTGTTTGATGAATCTCTACAATATATCACGGGAGAGAGGGTGAGAGCAGGAGAAAAGAAGAGAAGGGAGGGAAGAGAGGGAAGAAATAGAAAAGCTTGACTTCCTTTACCTTTAGCCCCAACTAATGATAAAGTGACATATGAAATCTAAACATCCTTCATTTGACCATCACCACTGGCATCGCCATAGTCATTGCTATGACCATTTCTTTCTCCATGCTGACACTGACTTGACTTCTCTATTCCAAAATCCCAAAAGACTACATTTGTAACGCCATATTGTCTGTGGTTTCATACTAACGTGTGTGGATTAGTAGAAAACTAGTTTGCTTTGCTTTGCTTTGATCTGATCTGATCTGATCCTCTTTTCTTCTTCTTCTTCTTCTTCTCCCTCTTTTAGTATCGTACCAAGACGGAGTAAAAGACTAGATATCTACCTACTTACTTATAGTAATATCTATCTTCTCTTCTAGCCCTTCGACTATCTTTTCTACCACTACTCCGGGTACAGAATCTGAAGTTTGAACCGACTGAAAAGATTCATTCACCCTCTTTTTTGACCTCCACTTCTTTCCTATTTCGTACATGCCATACAATCCATCCAGCACCAGCACCAGCACCAGCACCATCTATCCATCCATCCATCCACCCATCCATTCATCACCCACCCACACAAACCTTACTACGAGTACACCCATCCCACACCTCACTCACACTTCACACCTCACACCTCACATCTCACATCTCACTCCAACCTCCAACCTCAATTAGTAAAATCCACATCCACACCCACACCCGCACCCGCACCTTCACCCACTTCAACATCAACAAACATCAATCATATTACTTTTCTCATCCGAACATCATCAACGTGGAATCAATCAATAACCTCACTTAATTCAATCATTATCAATTCATCTCTTCATTAACCTTTTTTTTTTCTTCTTCTCAAATTGCCGAATGCGAGTAATAGCTTTTGAATTTGGTATTTACTTGGCAACATTGGAATAGGTGGTGTTGCGACAGATTGTAAGACCTAGGTAAATAAAAAAAAAGTTGCAAACGCGCATTTCCACGCTTCAATCACAACTTCAAACTATAAGCAAACTGTTGCGCACAATCAAAAGTAAGTATTTCACTAATCTCATCTCCTATTATCTCTTCTTCTCTCTCATCTCTGCTTTTCTCCCCTGGGCGCAGCGCACTGAAAGAGATCGTGATGTTACCTCCAAAGAAAGCTGGAATCCCAAAGCTTCCAATTTGAGTTTGCTGACCATCTCAAGGCATATCATCCAAAACAGTTTCGCAATCGCACCAAAGGCCGATTACTACACGATGTCTATGTACAATCATCGCGGTTTGGGTCCTGCCCCCGGGACCGCTCGATTGAATGAATTATTGGATGGCATTCGCGCCGAATTTGATACACAACAACGAGCGAGTGGGGAATATGAACATAATAGTGAGTCGCACATCAAGATGGTTGAGAAGGTGATGAGGATGATGAATGGCAGAATGAGGAAGAAACTCTTTGGAATCTCCGATTTGCGGTGGTCATGATCTAATACCCGGCGCGATACTAATGTCATGTCTTCTTAGTTGCACAACAAATACAGGAGATGCAAATGGTTAGAGAGAAGGTCTATCAAATGGAACAAACACATCTAGCTTTGAAGCAAAAGTAGGGTTCTGGATTCATATGAGAGATGGTTATTTTCGCTAACATTCAAAAGATATGATGATGAAATTCAACGCCTTCGCCACGAACTCGAGGCCAGAGGAGGCGCTTCTCGTCCACCTGCCATGGGTGGTCCTCCACAACATGCTCCATCTCAAGCACCACCAGCTATCGGACATGGTCCAAGTAATCTTTTTGGAGGTATAATGGCTGGTCAAGCAGCTCAGGGAGGTCCAGGTTTGGCTCCTCCACCACAACAACAAGATGCGCAAGGTCCACTTCCACCACACGCGATGCCTCAACCACAACCAACCCTACAAGGTCCTCCACCAAATCAACAAGGTCCTTTCCAAGGTGGTTACCCTCCACAAGGCCCTCCACAAAATGGTCCATACGGTGCTCAACCCCCTCAATCAACCGCTTCTCCAGGTCCCGGTAAAGGAGGCCCACGACAAACCCGTGGTCCAGGTGGCCCAGCAACTCCTCAAATGCCACAACAATTGCCATACAATAATGATCCTAGACAATCACCACAAGTCGGTCACCCATTAGCTGGTATCGCTCGTGGACCTCAATACCCTGTTGGTAATGTGGGAAACGCTTTGGCAGAATTGGACCTTGAACGATTACCACCACAATTCAAGAAGGTAGAGGCCGATTGGTTCGCGATTTTCAACCCAGATGTTCCAAAGATTCTTGATGTTGATCTTGTGCATACCCTTATTCACGAATCTGTGGTTTGTTGTGTTCGTTTCAGTCATGATGGAAAATTTGTCGCAACTGGTTGCAATAGATCTGCTCAAATCTATGATGTTGTCAGTGGAAACAAAGTTTGCGTCCTTCAAGATGATTCTGTAGACTCCGTTGGGGATCTTTACATTAGAAGTGTTTGCTTTAGTCCAGATGGAAGATATCTCGCTACTGGTGCCGAGGATAAATTGATTCGGGTATGTTTTTCCCCTCTTTGGAAAGATTTCACGTGCTAACTATAAATAGGTATGGGATATTGCTACACGAACAATAAGAAATACCTTCTCAGGACATGAACAAGATATTTATTCATTGGATTTCGCTCGTGATGGTCGTACCATTGCTTCCGGAAGTGGTGACCGTACCGTTCGTCTTTGGGATATTGAAGCTAGTCAAAACATTTTGACTCTTAGCATTGAAGATGGTGTTACAACTGTCGCCATCTCACCTGATACTAAGTACGTCGCTGCTGGTTCTCTTGATAAGAGTGTTCGCGTTTGGGATGCTGCTACTGGTTACTTGGTAGAAAGACTTGAAGGTCCAGATGGTCACAAGGACAGTGTTTATTCTGTTGCATTCGCACCAAATGGAAAAGACCTCGTTTCCGGAAGTTTGGATAAAACCATCAAGATGTGGGAACTTGTTGCTCCAAGAGGTGGTCACCCAAATACAGGTCCAAAGGGTGGAAGATGTTTACGTACATTTGAAGGACACAAGGTGGGTTATCGTTCGATCTCATGTTCGATCTTCATGCTAACAAAATTTGATAGGACTTTGTTCTTTCCGTCGCTCTCACTCCAGATGGAGCTTGGGTTCTTTCCGGATCAAAGGATAGAGGTGTTCAATTCTGGGATCCAAGAACTGGTAACACTCAACTTATGTTACAAGGTCACAAGAATTCTGTTATTTCAGTGGCACCAAGTCCTTCAGGAGGTTCTTTCGCTACTGGTTCGGGTGATATGAGAGCGAGAATCTGGAGTTACAAGAACATCTAATAGATTTTGTTAATGTAATGAAAGACTTGTGGTTGAAATGAAAGTAAGAAAAAAACGGAAGAAATTGAAGAGGATAGGGGAAGAAGAAAAAACAAAAACATGGTAATGTGTCATACTAAAGGCGAGGCGATCAATGGCGTACGTGGTATGTTGAACCTGGTGAATATGGTATTTTATTAACTCTTTATTCATTGAGAAGTTTTATGTTGGCAAGTTCATGATGGATTGAAATGGCAATATATTTCCGAGGGAGGTTTCTCATTTGGATGCTGGGGATGAGATGCATGCATGGGTTTCGTTTGTCTTATAGGAATTACTTGATGGGAAGGGGAGGGAGAAATGAAATATATTTGATATGATAGATCAATGAGATGTAATTTTTTTTCAAAATGAGATATGGTTTCTGTGTTTTTGTGATTGTGAATGTGATGTGATGTGATGTATTGTACTGAGGTGCTTTGTTAAGTGTGGATGTGATGTACTGAGGGAGAGGAGAGGTATAAAATTACTAATTGATGTCTATACAGCGCTATATACTGTTTGCAGAAGGCCTATTAATTACTCACTTATAACTATCTATTACTTCATCACGCTCTCTGAGTCATTTCAAGAAAGATGTAATGATAAGGACTGAGGAATGCTTATTAGGGTTGGAAGGAGAAGCTAGATGGTGAAGTAGCTCTGGTAGTTGGGCTATTGTAGCTTTTGTATTGTATGGTTATTATTAGGTAGGAGGTAGGTAGGTAGGTAGGTGAGTAATGAAATGTATTAGTTTTGTTTATTTGTATTTTTATTGTTTGTTTATTTGTTTTATTTATTTATTTATTTATTGTTTGTTTATTTTATTTATTTATTTGTTTAGTTGTGTATTTATTTATTTATTTATTTGTTTAGTTGTGTATTTATTTATTTATTTATTTATTTATTTATTTATTTATTTATTTATTTATTTATTTATTTATTTATTTATTTATTTTATTTGTTTAATTTCTCATCGAAGATAGGCCCAGCGACTCGTATGGAGGGAAAGAGTAGTAAGAATGAGAAGTAAGAGCACAACGCGGCATGGCGGTTAGTTTTCTTAGCATCCTCTTTTCTTGAGACATGTAATTTCTGACTTGCAGAATCTTAGGTGGCCTAATGGCATCCCTGTAACGCCTTCAATTTGGCATGATAGTGGCCCTATGGCACTTCTGTAAGACCAGTCAAGTCCTTTTTGTGCATGTTAGCGGCCCGATAAGACCTTTAAAAGACACTGTCCTTCCAAGCTTCCGGGTCGGAAGAAAGTCTGCGACCATATTCACCCACCTCGAGCATTCGGTTACAATTCAAATCAGTATCTTCCAATGAGGGCTATAGCCTTTGATCGATCCAACTCATAACAGTCCTTCGGCACAAAAGGACAAAAAGCTCTTGTCGTCTCGAACTTTCATTCAATTTCTCTCCTGCCTTCTCTAGATCGGCCACATGCAGCTCCAGGGTATATGCAACCATTCCGGTCTTCTCTCGATGACTTGAGATGGCAAGTCAGTTCAATGATTGATTCGAGGAAAGATGCGATGTGGACATGGGATTCTTTCTATTTGTTGGAGCGGAGAGATGTTATCTTGCTATCTGCCTTTCGGTTGGAGCTATAAGATACTTTCTTGCTATAATGGCTATCGCCTCCCTGCTGGAGCAGAGAAGCACTGTCTTGCTATCTGCTTCCCTGTTGGAGCCGAGATTTTCATTGTCGTCATTATTGATTCGGAAGAATAAAAGACACCGTCCTTCCATGGTGGTGGTGTTACTAAAGCCCAAAGACACTATCCTTCCATAATAACAGTGCTACTAAAGCCCAAAAACACTGTCCTTCCATGGTAATGGTATTATAATTTTCTGAAGTATAAGAAAAGACACTATCCTTCCATGGCAGTGTTGTTTTAATCTTCTTGAAGAGAAAAAGACACTGTCCTTTCATAGCAATAGTATTGTAATTATCTGTAGTATAAAAAAAGATACTGTCCTTTCATGGCAGTGGTGTTGTACTTTGAAAGAGGGGAAAAGGAAGAAGTGAAGAGTAGAGAGAGGAGAGAGAGGGGAGGATCAGATGAAAAGAATGAAAGATTGAATCTATATTATAAAATTAGCATTCTAACTGTCTATGATTCTGTGGGAGGGAGAGCAGGTGGATGGATGATCTTCAACTTAGAGAAAAGGGGGATTTAGTTGAGAAACTGTTTGCACAATTACGTTTTATTCATTTGTGTATTTTAGAAATTACTTTAACCATTTATCAGAAAGAAAAGAATCAAAAGGTGACTTCTGATATCAAACAATTGAAGAATGAATTTGTTAGAAATTTCGAAAGTTGGGAAGTGTCCCTTCAATCCATGTACCTACTGGTGGTCTTTCCTTCCAGTGAGTTCTGTATTCTCATCTTCACTCTTCCATTTTAAGATGATTGTTTAACGTGATAGGAGATACTATCTCCTCAATATCTTGCGCATACCCTGTGTTTACCCATCTTCCAATCATTTTCTCAGTTCAGATCACTGCACATCATGCATAGAAAAACCTTACAGGAATAGCAGATATATACTCAAACAGATTTGTACATGCTAAAATTGTTATCGTGACAAGTACCTATGTTCCGATCCCAAAATAGCCATTAACCAGCCGTTCACCAAAGTTGTATAGTACAAATTCCATTTTGCTTTCCATTCATTCATACAAAGAAATCCTCCATTAACCTAATTCAAAGATCGCTTCGACTTAGATCAAGAACCGGCTCCCCTGGTTTTCCATGCCTCCCACATTCCATTTCATCCCTCATCCATTCATATATGCAACTTGTCTCGCTTGCGTGTTCACTCAGAAACGACCTTTGTCTTGATTCTCGAGCCACCGCTCTTAACACGTCTTGCAGAAGGACGGTTGATGTGGTGTTCTGGGATCCAGCTCTCATCATAAGCTTGTTGAGCCAAAGATTGAGTTGTAACAGCTGGTCCATCAGCACCAATAACAGAGACTTGATCCTTAACATCGACTGCCTTCTTACTTCCTCCAGAAGAACGCTTGGCGCGCTCGCCACCTTTTCCACCTTTGCGAGTTTGGGGGAAGAGAGATTCGATCCAAGTTCTGTAAACGAAGTAAAGAGTACCACCGGTGACTGCCAGAAGGAAGAGATAGAGGAAGATGCTATGGTGATGTTAGTCTAATTAATCCCTAGAAAATCGTACTGCGGAGGAAACACTTACATTTGAGGATCAAAAATGCTAGTAGCAGCTTCAACAACAGCAACAGTCTCATTATAAGCCTGAATTTGATAAACACCGCCCTTTTGACTAGCCACAACCGCAAGAATGTTCAATCTCAAATCTTGAGGATTCAAATCGGTAGTGAATGTATATGTCAAACTCTCTGTCTCACCAGGCTGAATCTCAACATCATATCTTGTCGAGGTCAAATTGCGTACAATAGCAGCACTAGGATGAGTTCCTTCTGGCAGAGTCTGAAGAGTAGACAAAGAGCCTCCGATAACAGCTACTTGAACAGCTTCAGCTTCATCGTTTTGGAATGTAAGAAGGGCCCGAGAAGGATGGCCATTGACGATTTTAACCCCAAAGATTTCAGCTTCAGGAAATGCGGCAACGACTGAGACGGCGAGATTGGTTGGGGGAGTTTCGAATCCTTCTGCTGCTGCTTCTGTACGTTGATCTTCAGTCTATTGTTGAACATAAATTAGTATTTGCTTTGGTTCTCAATGGTATTCTTTAGCTCTCGATAGCTATTTGAAGCATATGACAGCTGTCATTAACTGGGAAACATCAAACTTACACTTTCTGGTGCAGCAAAAACGCTGACAGCACGAAGTGCGAGAAGAGCAAGAGTAGTAAACTTGTAGGAAACCATGATGAGCAGATCAATTGAATGAATTGATAGAAGAGAAGGTAAAGAAGGAATGTGAGAGTAAAAAAGGTGGTCGGATGGTATTATGACGAATTTATGTCCTAGCTTCTAGAAATGTGTTCTCGGCAACTAGCGTATAAATTGTCGCCATTGCTTGGGAATCCCAGTAGCTGCAGCACGTAGACCAATTTTGGGATGAAGTCATATAAAAAAGAAAAAGATGATGTTTATTTGCTCGAGTGTTCGTCCAATAGATTGAATGTAAGAATTACTAATTAATGTTTGCTAACAGATTGTGAGACGTCGAAGAATGGGATTTTATTATTATTAATAAATCACCATCATCATGGGCCAACGAAATGAGCAGCAGGTAGACCGACATATTAGATGTCATCCATGCATGTTCTACAGAATACAAAAAATAACGTCGTCACATCATCAGCAGTCAATCACCCAGAGCGAACAATTTTTGATCATTTTTTCATTATTTTGCTGGTTGGGTCCGTAAATACGTGATGCCCAATACTATCCATGCCATGCATGCATTGGCTATTATCAGTTGTTCCCAGTCCAGTAGTCATCAAAAGCCCTTCGAGGCGAAATGTCCTCAAAAAGTGCGCTATCATCAAATGAAGGCTTCTCATAAGAAAAGTACCGCCGTTCTCTATCATACACACAGACCGGAAGGTTTAGAGCTTGTTCTGTAAGCTATACTTTTAAACCGACTTCATGTTCTGGAAGCTCATTCCCGAGAGCAATTTGATCATTCAGCCTCTTATAGGGAATGATCAGTAGTGTTGTAAGTATATAGAAGCGTGTGAATCCAGAAGCAATGAGTCAACGAGCCAAAAAAAAAACACGCCTAATTTTTTTGGTTAAGATCAACAATGTTGGAGTTAAGACAATTTCTCTCAAGTTCAAGCACCAACCATTCCAGGTCCGTAACTTTGACGCATCGGTCCTTGGAAACCGTGAGATGTTGGAGTCTTTCCTTTGTTAGCTTGCACATTTGATGGATATAGCACACTACCCACCTTCTTTGGTCGCTTTCGACCACCGGCTCTGTCATCGCCATCGCCGGTGGAATATCCACCATCATCATCAACGTAACCCTCGCCATAGCCTTCAAAACTTGAATCACCATATGAGCGCTTCTTGGCGGTTCTTTTTGGACGTGCGATATCTGCCGCGCCTCTATTTTGCTTTGGCACACCCATGGTGCCTTGCGACAATGGCATTGGAGCCTTTGCCTTCGCAGGAACAGCCTTTAAGGGATCGTTGGCAATTTGGGAACTGATTTCACCAAGAACAGAATGATTCCAACGTTCTTTTGGAACGGGGCCTTTAGCCATGATTAAAGCCGTCTTGATTTGAGGTAGTAGTTCCTCTACTCCTCTACTGATTTCTTTCCCTTGTACATGAGACTGATTCCATGCTTCCCTGGGCGCAAGAGGTCCGTAGGCATCAATTAAAGAAGTGAGTGATCCAGGCTGATTAGGTTCTGGACCTTTAACTGCATCAAACTGTCCAGCAATACCCAAAGATTTTATGTATCCTTTGTAGGTTTTTCGAACTGTGTTCTTCTTCCCATCTGCTGTGACACGAGCAAGACTGGCAGCAATTCCGTTCAAACCGAATCGATCGTATAAATCTTGTTGTACGTTTAAGTTTTGATTCTTATGAGCTGTATGTCATTCCATGTTAACAATATATTTCAAAAAAGTGGTGGACAAGTCATAGCAGAAGAATATGCTTGAGATTGTAATCACCAACAAGTTAGATCAACTAGAAAGAAGGAATTCTTACGAGTTCTGCAGAGAAGGTACTTTTTACCGACATCCTGATGGAGATCGTCAATACTAGGTCTGCTGTTCTCGACATGAACTTTCTTCTGCTTTTGATCACCAAGATCTTCAAAATCTCTCTTGCGCTTCGTCGAAGGATCCATTGATTGAGATGCCTCGATGGCGGAATTGACAGTTGACATGCTGCCGTTGATGCTGTGGGCTGGCGTCGGAAGTGAAGTATTTATTCGTGGAGAAACTACGTTCTTTGAGGAAATATCGGTAGAGCCTGGGGCATTGGAAGGACTTTGTGGTGTTTGTGGAAGATCAGAAGGCATTTCGGTGATAAGTTTGAATATTAAAGTAATCGAGGTTGTTGTAGAAAAGGAAAAAAGGTGAATGTGGTGGTAGAAGGATTGATTGTTGCGACTTCGGCCGTACTGAAAAGTTTATTCTTATCGAAAAGAATGTATAAGGGTATCAAAATGCGCCTCGAATTTATTGAGGAGGAAAAAATGTAGAATGATAATTGTACAGAGTATGGAGCGAGTGTCGAGGATAGAAGGAACCTATTTTTGATCGGATTCTCGAGGCTCGAAGAAAGGTAAGAGGGAGGGAAGGAGAAGGTGGATCGAGAACGATTCTCGCAGAGACGGACCTACACCGCCGACGGCAGCGCTGAATCGACCTGTGCTCTTATTCCATGTAGGTCGTTGAGATTGTGCTATCAATGCGATACTGTTTTCGTATAATCAACGTCGGTTTCGTTATTGTCGTTGATGTTGTTGAGTTTCCTGCGTAGTTGGGCAGATCGTTCATGTGAGGTCAAGAGGATTGGGAGGCGCCGCTTTGTCAATGAATTGGCCGAACGAAAGTTTTAGCGCCACAGTCACGTGTGAATTAAACCGAGGTCAGCTTCCTATTGAAGATCTTTCATTGTTATTCTTATGATTGGAAGTGAAGAAAGCAAACCAATGAATGTGATTATCCCAACATATATACCCTTTTAAGAAAGCTTCGCGACAATGTAAAAAGAGTCAAGATTGGTTATTTCATCATGAAACCCATTATTAAACACTGTGTATGATTCCCAGCTCTTCTTTAGCCAGAACCGATCAAACGCATTTTGAGTTGTTCCAGCCCCATTTTCAGCTTGAACCACGCATGTGTGGACTAAGCTAGATATGGATTAGCTTGAATGGAAATTGCCGGGTTTGCTACTGATAGTAAATAATTTTTTGATATCGAGAAAATTCCCTATGAATGTATTGATTTTTGATATTTGAATCGAAAATCAACAACAAACACTGAATAATACAACATTATGTCTGGAGGAAGAAAGAGACCATTCGACGATGATGTTGTCATTGAGGCAGCATCCGAAGAAACCCAAACACATACCTCGAAGAAACCTAGAAAAGAAACGAATGCATCTGCCCGCCGTTCATTGTTTGTTCGTTCTTTGCCTGCGACAGCTACAACTGCATCATTGACTGAGCTATTTTCCGACAATTACCCCCTCAAGCATGCCACAGTTGTACTTGATCCCGTTACAAAACAATCAAAGGGTTATGGATTCGTTACATTTGCAGATGCGGAAGACGCTCAGAGAGCTCTGGATGAATTCAATGGTCAATCATTTCAAGGTCGTAAAATGAAAATTGAGATTGCTCAACCACGTTCCAGAGATGCGCCAGCTAAAGGTGGAGACGATGGATTGAAAATGCCCAAGGAGAAAAATGCAATTGCTACCGAAGCAGCTGCTGTCAAGAAAGCCCGACAAGAGAAATTGGCAGAATCAAAAGCCCCTCCCAAACTTATCATTCGAAATCTGCCATGGAGCGTCAAGACCCCCGACGAATTGGCTAAACTATTTATGGGTTTTGGAAAGGTCAAGTTCGCTACAATGCCCAAGGTTAAAGGAAAGGAAGCGGGGTTCGGATTTATCGTTATGCGGGGCAAGAAGAATGCAGAGAAGGCATTGGCTGCAATCAATGGGCGTGAGATTGATGGCAGACAATTGGCTGTTGATTGGGCTGTTGAAAAGGATGTTTGGGAGAAGAAGAAGAACGAGGATGCAGGTATAAGTGAGGATGTAGAAAAAACAAAGGATGAACCCAAAAAGCCGAAAGACAAGGCAGAGGACGACGATGTAGACGATGATGTCGCAGATTTTATGAAGAATTTTGGAGATCAATTAGAGTCTGAGGACGAGAGTGATCCTGAAGCCGATCAAGAGAATGAAGACGACATTGACGATGAGGACGACGAGGACGACGATATTGAAAATGACGATGACTTTGATGATATAGCTGACGATGAGTCGATTGAAGAAGAAAAGCCAAAGAAAGTTTTCATTACAGACAATTCAACAACACTTTTCATTCGCAATCTCCCTTTTACGACTCTCGACGCAACCCTGAAGGAACACTTTGAACAATTCGGTCCTGTTAGGTATGCTCGAGTGGTTATGGATAAAGCAACAGATCGTCCTAAGGGCACCGGCTTTGTCTGTTTCTACAATATCGAGGATGCTGAGTCTTGTTTCCGAAATTGTCCCAAATATCAACCTACTGGTGCAAATGCAATTAAAAAGGGTGATACTCCACAAATCAAGCACTCCCTCCTAGAACCTGAAAATGCAGATTCAACAGGTGCTTATACCATCGAAGGGAGACTTCTTCAGATATCCAAGGCTGTTGAGAAAGATCAAGCAGTGAAGCTTACAGAGGAGGGATCGCATTTTCGTGATAACCGCGACAAAGATAAACGAAAGCTTTACCTTCTTCAAGAAGGTACTGTTGCAAAGGGTACCCCTCTCTACGATACACTCCCACCTTCCGAGGTAAAGATGCGCGAGGATAGTGCCATGCAAAGAAAGAAACTTATCCAAGGCAACCCAACTTTACATCTCAGTCTCACGCGTCTAGCCATACGTAATATACCCCGAAATATCGATTCTAAAGCTCTCAAAGCTCTAGCTCGTGAAGCTGTCGTTGGATTTGCTACAGATGTTAAAGCAGGGCTACGTCAACAACTATCCAAGGAAGAAATCTCACGAGGAGGCGAGGAGATGCGTGAGGCTGAAAAGCAAAGGAAGGCCAAAGGGAAGGGTATTGTTCGACAGGCTAAAGTCGTCTTTGAGGGTAGAGAAGGCAAGAAAGTTAGCGAGGAGAGCGGTGCTGGAAAATCAAGAGGATATGGTTTCGTTGAATATTCGAGTCACAGATGGGCTCTCATGGGATTAAGATGGTTGAACGGCCACGCACTCACCAACTCCCAAGGGAAAACACAGAGAATGATCGTAGAATTTGCCATTGAAAACGCACAAGTAGTTTCTAGAAGAAAAGAACACGAAGAGAAAGCTCGCAATCGCTCAAAAGAAGTTACAGATAAGATTGCCAAGGGCGAAATCGTCAGCTCGAAGAAATTAGCAGGTAGAGACACACAAATGAAATCGATGAGGAAGGGTGGAAAGGGTATCAAGGGAGCTGGTAAAGGTGGAAATTTTGAAAAAGAAAAGAGCTTTGATAGAGTCGCTCTCAAGTAAGTCTACATTCTACTTTGCATGAACAAGTATGATGTATTAACAATCAAACAGGGGTAAACGCAAAGCAGAAGACGACGCATCCGAACAAAAGGATAGAAAGAAGCCAAGGAACGAAGCAGCGGAAGGTGATGATGACAGCAAACAAAGAAAGAAGGCACAAATCATTCAAAAGAAGAGAATGATGAGGAGGAATAGGAAGGGTGGTGCTTAGCTGTGTGGTGTTTGAAGGGGTTGGTGGAGCAAAAGACGAGGCAGAAGGAAAATGAGGGAGGAGAGGTTCATGAAGTAGAAGATAGTAGGGGTGTATAGTTGAAGAAGCGATCATTGTATTCTAGCTTAAGCTTGATTTTGTGATTAATATGATACCTCCCTTTATGGCTGAACAATAATTACTCTTTTCCATTCAAACATACTTGATTCTTCATAGTCCACCAATGGCATGCGCCATTCCCTTCCCCTCAAATCACGTGAAACTACCCCAAATTGAATAACCGATGACTCCTTTTCATTTTTTCGAGGACACTTCCACTTATAATCTTGCTTATCTTCAAAAATGAAGCCATATACTACTATAGAAATGATCAACACATCTACTCGAGTATAATCAACGGCTTCAATGAAAAATCCCCTAAATTCGTATCAATAATAACCTTTTTCGCTTATTCCGAAGAAATCTTCATTCATGATATCTTCATCGAGTAATATACCATCAATCACCTAATTATTGCCAGTAAACTTAGCTTTGAACACATGTATTTGACTCGAATATCTATCCCTAGTATAACAAAATGTCAAGATAGATATTTCGAATCAAAAAGCAGTATCCTAGAGTCAGGAATGATTATTTTCGCTTCTTTTTTCGAGCGAATGTTCTTTCATGAGGTTTATATTTAGTCTTTTATGGTTTTTAATTTGAGTCGAAAAGGACGTTTTGTAGAGATATTTGTTTAGTTTTTGACTTGGATATCGATGACAGTCACTTTTCGATGCTGAGTTATTCACTTTGGGTCAAGATACGGTATAGTCAAGTCAATAATGACTGGTTTTAGGTCATTGCGAGGATTTTGAGATTCACTGTTGTGTAATTTTTAGATTGGTATGATTTACTTTCTACTACTTTCTCGTCATCTATGTATGCCATCAATTTGAATACTGTATAGGGAGATCATTCATAGAACGGAATGAATGTGCGCAATCAAAATCTCGGGCCTAGGACTCATAGATGTTTATTTTGGTATCAGTTTGCGTCCTCGTTTAGAATCGAAACTGATCAAATATGCTTGACAAAATATATTCATACCATCAAAATATGCTTTCGGAATCATAGGACTCATTTCTTAGTTGTTTTGATCTGAATACCTGTTTCTATATACATTCATACCTCGATATCAACATTTCGTGTCAGAAAGCCTTCGTTGAAGATTCGACCATCCAACGTGTTTAACTTGAATACCATTTACAATCATATTTATATCAATTTTATAGTCATCCACATGCTTACTAGGGAAGAGTTGCAGGGGGATCGTGGGAGTTATAAGGAACGTAGCACCCCTCTTGGTTCGAGTTTACAGTCAACAAGACATCCTCAGAATACATCGAAGTACAACCAAGCTCTTGCGAATCAAAGACAATCCCCTTGTATTATCTCTCTATTGACTTTAAGCACGATCCCCTTGTCTTCACAGCTTTACCCTTTCAATTTCAGGCACAATTTGATCGTAACACACCAAGTCATCTTCTCTGACCAGCTTTTACGCGGATACTGGTGTTTATCGGCAAAGTTACAACCTTCATCATTCCATAACGGCTTTGGTACATCATAGACCCAGCGAATGTCGCCCACATCCAGCCGCTATTGACTATTGAATTGGCAGCGTACTCTGTTGTCATATTCGGAGCTCATCGTAGTCGTAGACACTAACAGACCTTTGACATCGTATTCAGCGGACAGACTGGGAATCTTTCAACTTCTACTATACGAGAAGTTTTGCTATCTACGTATCGTATTTTAGCCATGTCTTATCATCGAATTAAAAAGGAAAAAGAGGAGCAAACACAGTATGGGGTTTCACGTCAAGAGCCACCTCCTTCAAATAGGTCTTCAAACACACAAAGAAACACCGATGCGAGAGCATACCAGCAGCCAATTAATGACCGAAGACCAACGCCCTTGGACTCAGTGTATGAAGGCCAGATGGAAGCGGGTGAGGGGTTTGGATGGAATCGAAGCGAAGTTCCTGAAATGAAGTACGATCCTAACTGGTCACAACCCTCAACTGGTGCCTACAATACTCCAAGCATAGACTATGGAGAAACATCTCAGCAACAGCAGGGAGATTACCTTCCACAACAGCTAGAACAGTTTGACACATCCCAGACACAATCGCTTGCTTCTACGAGCCCTCATACGTATGGTTCATTTGCCCCTGAAGGTAGCCATTTCTCACATGGATCATCAGCGTACTCTGGAAACCGTCTTAATGGCACCAGGCAGCCCACTGATGAAGCCGCAAGTCCGGGGCTACCAGTCATGATGGAGGAGTTAAATCACCCACAAATGGATTTGATGGAGGGTAAAATTCCTTATGGATTTCCCGACGTTTGGATTCCCGGCACCGTTTACGCGAACAATCGGTGGGTAAGTACCCCAACGACGGGGGAACCTGATTACGGCTACTTGCCCATGGCAAAAAATCCAATGAAAGAATTCTGGCAAGGTGTTGCAACTGACCAAGAAGAGGAATGGTTCTGTAGAAGATGGGATTATGTGGACTTTCTTCGGCTTGTCTATCTCACCGTAACCTTGGTAGGGAATGTCAGCATGAATACTACCTCCAAGATGAAACTATGCTACAGAATGTAGTGACAATATTCAACAATGCTAGCCGTTCGACTCAAAATAGACCACCAGGTTTTTTTACAGCCCTCGGCAATCGAAACAAGCAGGTGGATGTTCCGTTGTTGAGACAATTCTTCCAAATTCTCAACAACCAAGAAAATCCAAACCGTAATGATCCTTTGATAAGAGTTATAGAGTGGTATAAAAGGAAAGGAATGTCCTTGATCACCACCAAGAGAGTTTTGAATGGTATACCAGAGGCAATCTATGAAAACTTTGGTCTAACATTCCAGCAATGTAACGCACAAAAATGGTACTTTCGCTTCGACTCGAGTCATTATCTGATGGCCTTTCAGAATCATGACGGAGATATAAATTGGAGGCTACTAGGACCTTCAGGCGAAGACCCTAAACCGGTTCCCGGTGGCTCAATTCCTAGGCCCTTGGCATATGATAGTCTAGGGCCTTTCCCTGGACTTGCTCACAAGCCGCAAGCACAGCCTCCGGTAAATCAACAATCGCAGTCTTTTGTACATGAGCCGGCACCGCCACTAGAATATCAGCAACCACAGCCTTCAGGCTCTCAAACTTAAGTCTATCCGTCACAGCAATCCGCGCGGTATACACCGCAACAGTGGCTGGAATACGAGAGACAACAAAGAGAGGAATATGATCAACAGCTACGGAATGCCAATCAGCCACCAGCCGGTGCTGGGAAAGGCAAGAAACGTGCCACACGGGAAAGTCCATCATCCAGTTCTTCTCATAACCCGCACAAAAAGCATCACTAGTGTTGTGACTAATTGCGAAGAGTAACATTTCTGGGGGGTTTTTCTTACGAAGTTGATGGAGTGACATTAAGACTTGACGTGCTGGTCATTAAAGGATGTAATCGGACACCGGGAAGTCTGATGCGCTAGCCGCACGAATGAGGATTTCTATGAACGGGGCGTTGAAGGGCTTCAAATGTAGACGCGTTGGTCGCACTACTGGTAATAAAGATAAGATATCTGGAGATAAATAGATCATATTTGAACAACGTTGCTTTTTCCATTAACCTTTCTGAATTTTTTTCATTCGATATTACTTCATTCGATGTCTACTTTTTGAGAGAAACTAAAAATCAGACACCGGAAACCGGAAAACTCTTTCAATAGAGTATATGCGAGCTGGAAAAGTCAGGTACTGAAGTGAATTTCCTATATTGTTGACTCCAATGCCATATCTGAGTCACTCTTCACATGCATCTTTCGAGTCAGAATGCTATTTTTTTTACAGTCATCTTGGGAAATTTCCAGGAAAGGGCTACAGGGGGATTGTAGGAATAACAAGGAACGATGCGACCTTCTTGGTTCGACTTCACACATTACCTCAAATCCTCAGAACACATTGAAGTACTACGAAATTCTTCCGAATCAAAAAAATACTATTTGTTTAACATAATATCAACTAAGCACAGCCCTCTTGTACACACAACACCCATCCCTCTTCTTTGACCAGTTCCTACGCCGATATTCGGGCTTGATCATCATAGATACACCCCTCATTGCTCCATGACGGTTTCGGTGCATTATCCTCAGTCAAGATCCTGGAAGTCCAACAAAGTGATAGACAACTTTAGACTTCTAGACGTCGTTTCAAGTGGACAGTTGACTGAGGCTTCTGAAACTCCAAGTATCTGAGGGCTGATCGATATCTACAACAATGTCTTCCCGCAACCAAGAGAAAGGAAAAGGACGGCAGACAGTCTATAGGATTTCAAACGTTGGATCATCTTCACATAAGTCTTCAGGCAATAACAGAAATTCTGAGGCAAGAGATCACCAGCAGAAGATTGTCCAGCCAGCGCCAGTACCACCGGTACAGCATTACACAGGAAGACACAAGGAAGCCGATAATTCTCTTTACTACCAGGGGCAGTACCAGCAGCAGAATTATATTGCAGCTGGACCGGCTCCTAAGTCTGATGCATCACCGCCTGTGTATCGAGGATCGTCTGTTGGTACTGGAAGCTTTTCTTACGCGGAAACAACAACTGAAGCATCAGCATCGTCTGGATACAACTATAGAGATCAAAATGTGCCTGATGCAACATCGTTCAAAGATCCCTGGGAAGAAGCTGGTCTGGGTTACCTAAAGCCGCAAGTGGAAAATAAATCTTTCACACCGAACAGTTCTGATTATCCCAATCTGCCAACTAATCCCCTGGGCACTCCAATCCCGTATACAGGTACCCCGTCGGCTAACTATCAGCACGTAACTACAAGATTTCCTGCTTCAATTCCCATTTTCAAAGATCAGGGAGAACTTCCTTATGGAGTAGACGACTATCCAATCAAGTGGGAATCGGGATATAATCCCGAATTCGACAAGAATGAGCGCGGCCCTGTAGCAGCATTATGGGCTAGCGTTTGGCTTGATAATCAGCAAATGCGAACTTGTTATCTCTTTGACCATGTGGATCTTTATCGACTTACCTACATTGTTACGACTCTGTATTCGACTGTTGATTGCTACAAAAATGATCCGACATGTATCAAAATTGCAACTTCCATTCTCAATAGTGCGGGTAGACCAAATAGGTTTGGGTATGTAAGTCGTTTTCGACCTCCCCCACAGGTTGGATTCACTGAGGATCAAGTCAGTGCGCTTTTTTGTATTATGGCGAATAGACATAACCGAAAGCGTGGTGCTGCATTCGAAATCTTAAGCGCGTGGATAGAAAACAATAATAAAACGATTACGAAAGCTCTAGGTACAGGGAAAAAGAAGGCTACCCAAGGGTATCCATACTGGACTCCTAAGAAGCTCGTGTCACGCCTACCAGAAGCTATCATGGGTCATTTTGGCTACAACAATGCCGCTGCTATTGCGGATAAGAGGCTTTGCTGGGAATGGAGAGTTCCCTACTTCATGTTCCGTGAGAAGGATATTGGACCTCGGACCATTTGGTACACACCAAAGACTTACACCTACCCACCTATACCTGCCCAAGCTCGCTTTTGGACCAACACAACCGCAGAGCAAGAAAACATCCATGAACAACAATATTTGCAGAGTGATCCAGATGAAGTGGAAGCCGCCCGGAAAAGATTAGAGCAAGTCAGCTGGGGAGATGAGAGTAGGTTGGACGCAGAACGGTTGGCATTAGATGAAGCAAACCGGTATCACAAAGCGGGAGGGGGCGAGGGATACAATGTAGTCACTGTGGAACCTGAAATTTGGGCTTCTAAACATCCACGTGAACAATCGAGCGCTCCCGCATCTCAACATGGTTACAGGCAGGTATACTCGGAGGACAGTAAAGGGAACCCTTGCTATAAATGGGTACGTAAAGAGAAACGCTGAGCATAGATGCGCTGGTCGCTCTATTAGGGATAATTAGATACCGGAAAGTCTCATGCGCCGGCCGTACGACTGAGGATTTACTTAATTAAGGCGTACATAGATGCAAGAGGTAGAGGCGCTGGTCGCAAAACTGCAAGATATAGGTAGAACACCTAAAGATAGATAGATAATACTTAATAACGTTGCTTTTCATACTAAGTTCTTAGCATATTAGTCTTGATACCGCTTCGGTCAATGTCTGCCTCTTGATATGAATTAGAAAAAGAGATCCTCTTTTGTTAAAGCGTATGGGGTCTGGAAGAGGTAGGCATTGAATCCAATCTCCTGTATTCTCCATTGTTTGAATAGAGTGAAAGATAGATAGCTAGAACCCTTAAATTTCATTGTCCTTTGAGGGAATATCTCCATTTCTACAAGATCGAAATTTAACACGCCAAAACGCTACAAGAGCTACTCTAAACTTACTCCCATCACTTTGAAATCGATCTTCGCTATGGATGGGTAAGATACGCTATCGAGTGGGAATATCTCAAGAATGCTTATATCATTTGGTTGTTTTGAGTAGGGTATAAACCTAAGGGATATAAAATGAAATGGAGGAGTAGATTAACATGAGGCCTTGAAACTTCGATTTAGATGACTAGTTAAACGATCAATGCCATCATATGTGGATATAGACCTATCATTCCCAATAAAACACTCACCGACTGGAAATTATGCCAAAAATTTAGATTTGTATTTATACTAACACATTACAGATTCCTGTATGCGAAATCTATACGACATTGAGAAACAAACGTCTGAACACTCTCATCTGATCCCAGAATGCATCGCGCCTTTTCTTAAAAGCTCCAGGTCCTGAGCTTCTAGTCTTCCCTCATCGTCAGCTCCTATTCCTACTTTTACTTTCTTCTTCTTTTCCAGTCCCAACTCTTATATTAGAATACTTGAGGCGCCTGCTATGGGTATGCGTATGTTTGAAGGGAAAGCTCTCGAAGAGATAGATTAGATCACACATCCAGACCGGAAAACGACACTGAAACGAGAACGACGATGCGACAGACGAGGCGTTAGCAAAGAAGATAGTGAAAGATATCAGAGCTACGCAATATTCAAGAGTATATTACAAGCCTAGCTCTCTATGATATCATTCTTCCAATAAGCATACCTCTAAACATGGTTATTTATGTTGAGAATATATTTGATCAAAATAATCACCTATTTATACTCACCACCATTAAAAAACTCACCAGCAATATACTCAAACACAGCTACACTGAAGACATCCTCATCATTTCTGTCTGCATGTACTCGACATCAAAGTAATACCTTCAAGAAACCCTACAAATACGCGTAAAGTTAGAATAAGATTAGTTTACCTCCGCTCTTAATAACTCCGCTTTTCGTCTGAATCTATTCGTTTATATTGATAGATGGTTCTTTGCCGTTGGTATCGAGTTTAGCGTAGCTTTCTTAGCTTATGGTTTACCGAAGTGAGGTTCTATGAAGGTTTATCCGTTTCGACATCTGGAACCTTTGTCGTTGGATTTATCATTGGTGATATATGATCCCATGGAACCATCAAATTTCAGAAATTGTAACTGTGGATCTTTCGCTTCTGTAAATTGTGAGAAATAGAGTTAATCGAAGTCAAAGTCCGATTTCCTAGCTTCTGCACATTGTATTGGCAGGGAACTCTGGTTCTAGTTTCTCGCTAAAGGGTGAAGATGGAATTTCATATCAAAATATCAAAATGTAATAATCGAGAGTAGACAACGTAAAAAGCAACGTTTTAAATATTATCTATCTATCTCGAGGTAGTCTAGATTTATATCCAGCCAGTGTGATCAGCGTCTCGCATTCCGCGTCTCGCATTCATTGCATACCGCGATCTATTCCAAGTAAACCCCTCAGTCGTGCGGCTAGCGCATCAGATCTCTCTATATATATGTACATATTATTAGTGCGTCCGGCCCGTCGATAATTTAATCAATATATTTTGATAATTCTGCTTTCCAACCGGCTTATCTGATCCACAAACAATCTCCTCCAACAGGCGCAAAATGTCGAATTCAAGATGTTCATACTAATGATTTCTTCTCCTGTGGTGTCCATGTCCTTCGTTATGTCCACCACTTCTCCTGGAACTCGAGGAACCCGATTAGTGACGATGATGGCGGCTTGATCCTGCATCGCTTTAGACGAGAGTAGCTAGTAGATTAACAACCTCCGGCACTGGGATATACATAAAAGTATGCATGTCGGGGTACCATTGGATATTAGCTCGGGCTACGAGTCCGGGTGGGCTCTGTGGAAATGAATCATAATATCGTTCTATAGCGAACCGTAAAGGATTCCGAAGATACGTCAGTTGATCGTTCTGTTGTTGACCATCGCCCTGTATCGTATCGATCCATTCGATGGTTCTATCGACTGGCCATTGCCGATAGGGATTTCGTGTACATCCGAGGTATTCAAATACGTCGCGGACCAAAGTAGCAGTGAAAGGACTCAAATATGACAGTCCACGAGGCGGAAACATTGTTAGTGATCTCTCTAAACATGGGACTGCCAAGATGGCGACAATACTGGCGATACAATCTGGACTCGGAGGATTTTCTACCGTAAGACCAAGGTGACAGCACAATCTTACGAAGAGGTATAGATCAATTGCGTCAATACTAAGAAAATCTTCATACCAGTGTTTCTTCATAAAGGTCCTCCATATAAAATCTGTTGTGTACCCTCCAAATGAATACCGTGGACCGCGTGGCTCGTTGTCTCGTACGGGAGGATTAAGTCGTGTCAGTCCTCCTGGTCGCCAATTTTCCAATGGTACTTTGGGGGGTTTGAAATTGCTCTGAGGATCATGTACATCAGCTGAAATGGGTCCTATGATGTTTGAAAGATGGGGTGCCATTCGGCCTCTTCCGATTGCCGCATTCGAGCTTTCAGCTGTATTTAATTCCCAAGAAGTCTTTCTCTGCGGTGTGGCTCCTCCGACAAAAGTATCTAATGTATTTCCACTGAAAGGATTATTTTTCACCCGTCCATAAGAGTCTCGCATCTCTTGGTTCGAGTCAGACATAACTTAGTGGCACGAATGTGGATACCAATCAATTTTCGAGTACTTGAAGAGGAAGAAATAATGCCCACTCCGCTGGTCACAACGCTGAGGCCTGACTAGGTAGCTATGAGTGTTGAAAGGAGTCGAATTCGTCCAGATATTAGTGGCTCTGGCTGAGGGAGATATGATGTAACGAAGCGGTCGTCAAATGACTTGGAGTGTATCTGTAACGAGAAAACCCAAAGAATCCTCGCAAGAGTTGTTTAACGAAGAGAGGGGCAGTGTGCAATCGAATCACCTTAAGAACCAAGAATGCCAGGCTTTGAGTATCAGGTGAATGTTCTTAGAGTTGAAAATAAAAGAATTCTCTTGATATTGCATATATTTTGTTATATCAATGTATTGTGAGAATGTTTTGTTGTTAGAAAACAGCAACCTAAGTGGCTACATCGTCCCCTTTTGTATTCAAGTCCTCCCTACTCGATTCCCTTAGTGACATTCAAAGCGACCGTAGAAGGAGGGCATTCTGACTCGAAAACATTAAAATTGGGGCATTAAAGTGAATGTGATATGGTGCTCGAGTTAAAGCTCAGAGAATGAGTCCCGATAGAGGGCATTCTGACTCGAAAGATGCATTTGAGGGGTATCATAGTGACAAGAACAGGGTACTGGAGTCAAAAGTACACAAAAATGCGTCTCAGGCGAGGGTATTGTGACTCGAAAATGTCTACACAAGGGTATGATACACTCGGAAATAGGTATTCAGATTAGGACCACCGAGTAATGAGTCGTTTTCATTCTAAAAATACATTCAGATATGAATGTATTCCAAGGCTGTCTATATTCAAGTCAATAATATTTGTGATTGAAGAAAGGATGTTTGTGAATAGTTACATGATTCACAGAATAGATAAATATGAGTCCCCAGCCCGAAGAATCTGACTCCGCGCATTCATTCAATCCTATTAATAACTTCTCTATATATAGCTCAAGTCAATATCATATGTAAGAGAAGAGATGAGAGAGCAATCGAGAATCGTCATATCAATTTCAAAACAAACAATGCTGAATGTTACTAGGTATCCTCAAGATAATCTACACCATTCATCGTTGGATCAACTGCTCAGAATTTAGCATGGGACGGTGACTGTGATAGGACATTTCGAAACAAAAAAAACAGGAGAATGACAGCAAAACGCGCATAGAGTCACTTTCGTGGCAGATTGAAATTTCGTGAATAAATACTATTCAGAATGACATCTTCTAAAATAACATCTTTTGGAATAATATCTTTTAAAATAACATCTTTTAAAATAATATCCTTTAAAATAACATCTTCCAATATAACATTTAATACTCATTCCGGGCTTGAATATTGTGCGCCTTAGCTCCAAATCTTCGTTAATGTCTACAATATCTTCATATATTTCCTTCAGACTAGAACAAAAAATGACTGGAAAGCCTTCCAGATAATCACATTGCTGGCCGGTGCTGACTTGATGAAAATATGATAAGTGAATTCCTCTTCGGAGTAAGCGAAAATGATTGTTACTGGTCTGTGATCAAGGGAATTTGCATCAGTCCTGATCTGTGCTTATGAATGTAGATAGTTTGGATATGATTGAGTTTGGTATGTTGGTACTGAACGGGGAATATTAGGAGTGTAGAGGAGCTTGAAATAACGGAAAGACGTCGTTGGTATTCAAGTATGAAAGATTTGCATGCGATCTGGAAAGGGGATATTATACGAAACTGGTGAATTGATAAGATAAAATAAGATGGATCTGAATGAAAAGGGTTAAGATTGCTTAGTTATAAAGCAAGATATTCTAGTGATCAAATGTGCAAGCTGAAGCACGAATATCATAATCGCGTTGCGAACTACGCACCCTACACCCACACAATTCCTCTTCCGTCCTCGACTAGAAGAGGAGGAGGCCTTTGTACCGCTCCCATTTTGTGTCATAATTGATTGAACGGGTATTTTTCAATCGAAGTCATGAAGAAAAATCTCTAAACATCCTAATCGCGTTTCCAGCTCAAAGACAGGGAAAGTTCGAATTTTACATCAGAGGATTGTTCAAATAAAGAGGAGCGGAAGAATCACAAGTGGACAAAGAAGAGTCTGCCAGCTCGGAAAGAGGAGGGGGTTGGAACTGCTCTTGGGCTTAAACGCAGCCTTTCCAATTCATTCTTCTCGTGCTCTTAGTTAACACCCCATGCGAGACCAATGCTCTGTCAATGTGATACATTGGAGGATTCTCTGAAGGCTGGCTTTCAACCTCCGTCGCCGCTCGAACAATCTCGAGAGCCACCTAAACTGGTGCGAAGGTTGCGAGTTTTTCAATGCGGAGGTTTATCTGTTCTCTGCTACTGTACTCGGATCGCTCTCACACGGAACGTTTGGTAGCAGTTGTGGAAGCATTTTCATTCACAATATGAATGAAATAAGTCGGTGTATAGAAACAGAGACCGTATCTCGACCATTGAGCGTTTTGAAAGAATAAAGGCCCTAATTACCGCGGATACCTGCCATTGAAGCCGCCCCATTCTTGGTCCCGTGCAAATCATCGGTCTCGAACATTGCCAAGAAGTACATTGGACCCCAAATGCAATGCCACCACACCCAGTCAACGTTTACTAGTCTGCACACTGCACACACCGAACCAGGACTAGGCACGGATGCACATCTGTTCAGGGCCTATACCCCGCGCAACTCCTGAGGTGCATTTATTGAACGCGGAATTGAAGCACGCTCGTGGCACGGTTAGACTAGATTTGGAGAGACGTCCATATTTTGACGGAGATTTTTCGATATTGGTTATCGTGGTGATGTATAGATACCGAATTTTTGTTACGTATGTAGAATGAAGGGGAAGTTCGGAGAGTACAATGGTACAAGCGAGTGGCCTGGATAAGATACCGAATGGCTGGTGGGGTCCACGCCGAGAGATGTCCGGCGGGTAATTGGTTGGGATGTGATGTAACACAATAACGCTTTACCCCGCAGGCCCGCAGGAAGGAAAATTGATGGGAATGACCATTTATATACAGACAGATAAACGGACGGATAGACAGACGGACAGACGAACAGATAGACAAATGGATAGACAGATGGACAGACAGATGGACAGACAGACGAACAGACAGACGAACAGACAGACAGACAGAAGGACAGACAGATGGACAGACAGATGGACAGACAGACGAACAGACAGACGAACGGACAGACAGGTAGGCGGATAGAGGGACAACTATGCCAGTGTCTCGATATGCATATAAAGTGAGTGGGCATGATATGTAGGCTCAGGTAGGGTCTACGAGCAGATCTAGAGGCAAGAAGACAGGGAGTTGTATCTGTGTCACAATGGATTGGAAGAGAAGACAGCTGGGTAGAGTTAAGAGGTAAGGTTAAGAATGGGATAGATTACCATTACCTAGTGAAACATCCATCAGTCAGTATATTGAGCCACATAGGGCATACGTACATCGTACATACTTTTTACATGATCGTCGTGGGCTTCATAATACTACCTACCATACGAAGTAGATTGCATACTTTGTCGTGATCACCATGTGCTTCATAGTATATCCAGATTCCATACTTTCCATACTTTAACATGATCATCGTGTGCTTCATGATCATCATCACATACCCAACGTTCTAGGTAGTGGCAAGCAATGTAATGCATCTCTCATCCACTTCTATGGGAAGGTCTTTCTGTTCCTGAGCTTAGCTTGAGTAAAGTGGACCATACATGTACCGGAAACGACGTGCGGAACCAGAGCTCCCCGTAAAGCTACCGAGCTACTCGTACCCTCTGAAATATTCTACGAATCTACGAGAAATCACCTAGACCAGCTAGTCCCAAGAATCCGAATACCGATTCACCCATCCAACCATTATGCCATCATGCCATCATCCCATGGCCATTCGGAAACGTGGACCAGATTGGCAATGGCCCTTTGACCACACAATACCAGCCCAACACGGCAAGACGATTGATGAATGATTCTTTTGCCTTCTCCGAGTCTCATGAGCTTCTTACCAGTTACCTCGTTGGTTATTTTATGTGCTGTAAGTGGAGAATATGATGAAGTCCTACGAGTCGACCACTTTTCATTTGTGGATAGTTTGACCCAATGTTGTTGGAAAAAGAGGGGAAATGGTGGAAATACCAAGACTGCTTACTATGGAGTGTGGTCGTGATATCCCGAATTTATTGAGGGGTATCGAAGGCATCGAGGGTATCAAACATTATATATATTGAAGAGCTGCTCCCGACTTCTTGGTTGTATACTTCCTCTACATCTTCATCTTTTTTATATATCAGACATTCAAAACAAAGGTAAGCTGCTACTCCTCCCAACAACAACATCAACGACATCAGACGGGAAGTATGGATAGCTTCATATGATCATCGGATCAATGCCATTGGGATCTTCCAAAGTCTATTCTGATCCTTTAAGCCTCAAATCCCATCTATAATTCTCAATTGGTCGACGTACATGTTACTAACAGTGTTTGCCAACATAGGTTAGTTAATACATCCCGAACCCCGCACTTTCCCAAATATACATACATCTAACACAACTTCCATACAACAGAAATATACTCTTTGTTCTTTATTCTACAATCCATCAATACTTTTTCCAACTACAAATAATAGAACAATAATCCAAAATGGTATTTTTCACTCGTTCCCTCTCTCGTTTGGCAACAAGACCGTCTCCTTGTGCTCGGTCAATCTTCACAGCTTCTGCTGTTGCGAGAACTACACCTACATGGACGACGCGATCGACTACTTTTGGCTCACAGAAGCTTAATCATAAATTTGGAAATATCAGAATGCTAACGGGTAATCATCGTGAAAAGGTCAAGGTACTTCTTGTATTGTACGACGGAAAGAAGCACGCCGAAGAGGTATGTTTTATTTACTTTACCCCCCTACTCAATTGGGGGTAGTCGTCCAACTACTCCAATTGGGTACTCGTCTTTGGATCAATTGATTGACATGATT